AGGTCAGAACATCTAGCTGGATGAGGTAAATGAAAGTGAGTGCTTGAAACTGAGCTTCAGGCATGAAGTGCTACTACTTTTTAAGATATGTGCATTGTCCTTTCCAGAGAAAGTGGAATTTATTTTACCTGAACACCTGGAAGGTATTTTTCCCCTGCAGGGGTGGGTCCCTCTCATTATTGAATGAGTGGAGTTAATCATTCCTTGAAGTTTACAGCCAAGGGAAAAGAAAACAAAGGTAGATATTGAAGACATTTTTTGAGATAGCACATTCCTCCTACGTGTCCATCTTGATGGCTGACGGGTGGACGAACTCTTTTGTAAAGAAAATAAAAGCAAAGGAGAGGCTGAGAAAATAAGCATCTCTGCCTTGTGTTTTGATGAGTTTCTCAGAGAAGTTATTGACATGAGTTCAAATGTCCACTGGTCCTAAACTTCCCAGATTTGTAAAGGTAAATAAAGTCATTTGGCTACTGGGGAGATATCTTATGTGCGCTCATGGCATTGACCAGAGGGAAAGGACCTCCGGACAGCAGTTCAGATGAGTGACCGTTGTATCAGGCTGCTGCCGTGTGAGACCAGGTTTTCTTCACGTACTTCAAACATACAAAAACAGGTTAGCACCAAAGTAGGAGAGTCCACCTATCTTCCATTAAGCCAGGCATTAAGGAGATTTTCAAAAACAGAAAATAATGCCACTATTCTCACCAGTTTCTTTTTTTGCTTTGGAAAATACACCTTTTTACAGAAAGGTGTTGTGTTTGAACCTATTATTTTAAACTAAGAAATGTTTTAAAATTTTCTCAGCTTCATTTCTTTTGGGGTAGATGTGGATAAGTGTAATCCACACAGACTCTTTGGGGTCCTTGGTCATTTTTTAGGGTGCAAAACTAAGAAGTCTGAGGATAGCTGCAGGAAGCCACGTCCGTTTGTCCTCCTGGCTGCTGCAGCTTGAACGATAAGAAGTGTTTTCCAAACACATCCATTGGCCCAACGGAGTAAATCACAGTCAGGGGCACTTCTTCAGAAGACCCACTGTTCACTTGTCCCTTCCTTGAGGTACAAAACCATATTGGGTAATCACAGCATGTAAAAAGTGGACATGTTGACTGTGTTTTTATCTGTCCCCCAAGGGCAGCTGATTCCCACCCCACCAAAAATGCTTCTGAGCCTTGGAGGGGAGGAACCCCTGCTGCATGCGGCCTGTCACTCACCGCTGCTCGTAAAGGCAGTCTCATGCAGAGGACACAGTGTTCAGGGACTCTGCTTACGGCCGACTGTATTATTTGTCAAGACCACCCTCTGGGCCACAAGCATTTTTAACTAAAGTTGTCCTATAAATAGCTTATATCCATTCCCTTTGGGTCACACGAATCCGTGTAGATGAGGAATGATCAGCGTAGGTCAGAACATCTAGCTGGATGAGGTAAATGAAAGTGAGTGCTTGAAACTGAGCTTCAGGCATGAAGTGCTACTACTTTTTAAGATATGTGCATTGTCCTTTCCAGAGAAAGTGGAATTTATTTTACCTGAACACCTGGAAGGTATTTTTCCCCTGCAGGGGTGGGTCCCTCTCATTATTGAATGAGTGGAGTTAATCATTCCTTGAAGTTTACAGCCAAGGGAAAAGAAAACAAAGGTAGATATTGAAGACATTTTTTGTAGGATTGTGCGGCTGCCCTTTAGGGTTACTGAGGGCACAGGGCTGTGATCACTTGTTCTTGACAGACATGGTCTTTTAAATCCCATTACTTCCTTGGACTTTGAAAATTGCATATCTAGTGGAAACCCAGCTCATATGCACAAAAGAGAAGTTTTAGATGAAAAAGATGGTCTCTGCCTATTTTGGAACAGCATGAAAATGGGGAAAAAGTACAATTAAGTCAGGCAAAACGGTAATTGCACTTGAAAACCATTGTTAACTGTTGTATTTGACTTTAAAAAGTTAGAATAAGAGGACATCTGTTTTCTTTCTTTCAGAAAAAAAACACCTTTCAAGTCTCCACAGTTAAGTTATAATGATGTTTTTAAGATGTCAAGTAAACCATCGTTTTTTTCAAGCACATCGTTAAATTGCACAGCTGCTGGAGTTAATGGCAACCAGCATTCTTGGCGTTTGGATCATGACAAGTGTAGAGAAGCTAACCCTGAGTCTGAGAGTCACTTCTGGTTGCCTCCCAAGTACCTTGGGCCTCTCCTCCCGTGACACTGTCACAGCACAGCGTCTTGTACACAGTGCAGTGTCTCCTTGTCTGCATCCCAAGGGCGATAGCAATCCACTCTATGCTTGGCACGTATATGGTGCTCATGAAACATTTGTTGAGGACTCACATGGATATCCAAAAGTGTAGTTGTTTCTTTTGAATGCAGAGACACCATTGTGTATTTCCAGAAATACAGCTTTTATTCAGAGCCTTCCAACTGCCCGATGTCCACGGAACACCCCGTTTTGTTCTCTGCCCCCGTATAGGTATGAGATTTGGGGCAAGTCTCTTTACCAAGTTGTACCCAGGTTTCTTCATTTGTTAAAAATGGTGGTAATTAGCATCTATCAATATTCTTTCCAGTGCTAATGTTCTTTTATTTTCTCTGCTGAAAATCTCATCCATTGTACTTTAATAATTACTTTTTGAATTTTGATTTTACTTGAACTATGTTAGTGTGTTTTTAAAGTGCCACGTGACAAAGAAAATAGGGTCCTTTGAAAACAAAGAAGGCATTAACGTCAAACACCAACTCTGGTCAATCAGTAATACAGGAAACTCAAGATTTTCAGGAACTGATTACCCGGCTTTGGATTAGCCAGGGTATTCTTTTCTGGTTGCCTTGAAGATTTGCAGTGTTAATTGACGTCTGTATCAGATGATTAAGAAAAATTAAAAGGAAAAACACTGAAGTTAATTATCTTTCACTTAGAGTTAATTAAAGAGGTGTGATAGGAAAGGAACTTGAAACTTGATTAATATGCCACTTGGACAGGGTCATGATGCCTGTGTGGCCACAGTAACAACTGTGGGACACCTGAGCTCTAGAGCAGCCACACTTAACCTCTTTAAAGCACCACTCACACTACCGTGTGCTTGTTAGTTCGTTTGCCTCTGAGCTCCTTAGACGGAGGTGTTTAATCATCTGTGTGTCTCTATGGCATGTTAGCACTAATAGTACTTCAAGTAATAATTATAAGGATAATGACTAACATGACAACGTACTAAGCATTGTTCTAAACACTCCACACATTTCAGTCCGTTTAATCCTTGTAACAACCCTAGGAGATACAGGTACTGTTATCATCCCTATCTTACAGTTGGGCACGGAGAGGGGAAGTAGGGTCATGCAGACAGTAAATGGTGGGGCTGGGATTCCAGCCCATGTAGTCAAGTGCTGGCAGCCCCCTTTGTAACCACCGTGCTGTACTCTATAGCCAGCGCACTAAACGTGTGCTGAATGGCTGGGTAAATGAGGAAATAGCCAGTGGCACGCTGTAGCTATTGATTTGATTGGCATCTTATATAGTTTCTGTTCTGTCTCCACTTCTCACACACACGCACACAAATTGTCAGTTTTACAATGGATGATATCTCCACAAAACTTTTTTTCTCGTCCATAGGTTGAGAGATTATTTTGAGACTCTCATTCATCTTTACCTTTTCTGAATTTGAAACTTCGCTGTTTGGCAATAAAAAAACATATTTTTAAGAAACGTGGATCCCTAGCTTGCTGAGCTGTGGATTTATAAATCAAATAAGTGAAATTTGTCAAATTCAAACCACACTTTGTTTCTTAAATGATTATTAAATGTGTGGATTCAAAGGGATAGATAGCATTGGTGATTCTACAGTGGGTAAAAAGCGTCTTTATCTTTCTGGGTCAAATCAAATTTAGGCTTCTTGGCTTATTGCTCAGAACTCAGTGCATTCACAAGCTTAAGGCATCATGTCTGAGAAAATTGATGTTGTACATTCCCTTTCTGTGTGTCTGGCTGAATGCATAGTAGTAGTAACTTGCGATAAAATTGTGGAAAATGTCCATGCTCAGAGAATATAGTAAAGGAAAAGTTTACTGTGGCAAGTCATTTCCTCTTACCTGGCCTTCCCAGCAGTACCAGGAAACTAGGAGATTGTTAACGTGTGAATAACTTAGAATCTGGGTTGCTTTGATTCACTAAGTAGGCTTTAGCTTCTATTCTGTGAAAGAAAGTGCAACATGACAATCTCAGATGGCTGTGAAACATGGACCTAATAGCTAATTCAGAATTATTTGCATGTCAAAGTGCCCCTTTAGGTAGCAGACCAGGGCAATTAGAAAATGGTGCATCAGAGATCTGGCCACTGATCTGGGCTCACCACAGAAGTCGGAGTTGAGGGGACATACATTCCTGTTGCAGGGAACAGCCCAGAGGTGGAAGACACAGGCTGGATCAGAGAAGCAGTGAAAGTTAGGTGGGCTATGGAAATATTTCTTGTAAAAAAAGGAAAGGCAAAGCCCTTCCAGAATCTGCGTCAGCCTCCCTGTCCACTTCCCTGAGAAACCTCACCCAGATCAGCCACACCTCGTAGGCAAAGAGGATGCTAGTCATGCAAATGCAGCTGGAGGACAAATGGCCGGCCTCCCTGCCTCCAGTCAGACTGTCACCTCAGGAGATAGTCCTGTATAGAGGCATCACTCGTCTTATTCAGACAGTTACTGGGGTGAAGGGCATCCCATTCAAACAACCGTTTTGATGCTTTTACCACCTGTAGGGCAAATCCTTCCGGATGTCCCTTCTTCGTAAACTTCACTCCATTGGCCATAAAGAAACTAAGTGCCGATGAATTGGAGGTATTTGTGCGGATAGGATCAACATGAACTCAAACAAAGCGCACCAGGTTGGCCCTCAGGGTCCTTTGCACAGTAAATACTCAGCAAATACCTTCTGCTTTTCCCACTTTATTCAGGCTGTTGTTGATTTTTTTTTTTTTTTAGCTTTCTCATTTATTGTTTTTCTTTGTTCTCTTTTAAAGGAGAAAGTCAAGGAAGCAGAGGAAATATACCAGGCTGGAATAAAGAACTGTCCAGACAGCTCAGACTTACATAACAACTATGGGGTTTTCTTAGTTGATACTGGTAAGTACAGTTAAAGAGAACCTTTTCTGCTGAGATTAGATGATGCTACCTATCAATCAAAATGGCCATCACCCAAATAATACCTCACAGATAGTAAGCCCTGGGCTTCTCATTTTACAGTAGGAACGTCACACTATTGACAGTCACGTTGGGGATGTCATTTCTCTTAATCTTCAAGCTCAGTTTAGTAAAATATGCCCAGTCCTTATATCTCTGAAACTCCTCGGGTAGGAGGAAGTAATCTTGATGAATGAGTCTTTTCTGAGTATCATTTGTACAAGTTCATAAATCTATGGCGAATGCTCCTCAGCAGTGATACAGGACCCTGAATCTAGTTACCAGTAAAGGGCAAATATTTCCCTCCAGCTGATAAGAAAAGACTCTAGAATTGTTTCATTGTTCTTAATTAGTATACATGATAGAAACTGTATTATTACAATTGGTAAAATACTCTTCTATGACAATTGCTCTATAAAATACACTTACTCCATCTTATTTAATACGAGAATTTACTGGGTAGGGAGTCTGTTTTCTTTTCGATTTGAATCTCATATACTGTTAGCATGTTATGAATACTTAGAATGAAAAGATATTTGAATTTAATGCAAAGGCACAGTTGTGTTTTCATTGATCATTAGACTATCTGCTTTGCAAATTCCATTTTAATTATTTTGTCCATATGAGATGCCAGAAAGGGTTTTGTTTTCTAGGATATTTGAAGTTTTTCTGTTTTATAGAATATAAATCTGCATTCTGATTCACTTAGGAAACGTCCATTATTTTTGCCTGTAAGATTGTTTTATGCTGCCACCTGCTGGTTCACAAGCAACATAGTAATAAATCAGGTGTAAAGATCGACAAACCAGGAGAGACCTCCACTTGGCCTGGCCTGGCCTTTCTACTCTTAACCACGAACAATCGTACACCGTCGTCTAACCCCCCAAAATCTCACTAACCACACTACATCTCTTCCTGCCACTCCCTTTGTATTACAATTTTCATACTGGTAAAATTCTCTGTATCATCAGTAACCTACACATCAATAACAGATCTGAACATACACGTAGTCTCTTTCGGTGCCTCCTAGTAAAGTTTGCATTCAAAGCACGTACACTGGAGAAGATTTCTGTGTAGGTAGGAAACACTCTAAATAAACTTTCCATTTAGAACTTCAGACTGCTGTACATTTCCGTCACTTAGGTATAATTTCACTAGGAGGCCTCTTTGGGGGACCTTATCAAACTAAAGAGACAGGATTCTAGTTCTGGCTTTTACCCACACTTGCCCTGGGATTTCTGTCACGTCTCTTAATGTCTCTGCACGTTAGTGTCTGTAACTCTGAAGTAATAAGTTTGTTTATTTTTAAATGTCTCTTGAATCTCAAGAGGCAGCTAAGCAATATCAAAAAAGCGGCTAAATAATATCCATAAACACTTGAAGTCAAATGAGTTCATTTATTTAAAGTGTTTTAAAATGTGTAATTCATCGGACACATGCAAGGTGGTATTACTATATATAAATAAAGAAGTGCCATTTTAAATAAATATCATTTAAACAAAAATGTTTGCTTTAAAGAGATTTTTAGATGTAGCTGGTACATACTTATTTAAAGCAGTGCCTCAGTTATTAAGCTGCAGTATATTGAGACCAACCCTTAGAAATTGCTTCAGGACAACTTTCTTTCTAAGATAGCCTAGACTCAATGTCTTATATAAACCACAATCATTTAAGTTAATCTCAAAACATCCTATTGGCTAGGGCAAAGGCCAGAAAACACTTTGACTAACATAATATACATAATAAGAGAAACAGGTTTTAGTTTTTTTTATTGCTATTTTATTATCAATTTCCTTGGAATTGGGAATGAATTATAAAATGGTCCAAAGTTTGGCAGTGACCAGGCAACAAAGCCAAAATGCGAGCTAATTTACAAACTGATTAACTGATGGTGTCACTCAGCAATGCTGAGGAAGAACGAGGCATACATCTGAGGGGAAATTAAAGAGAAAATGTATTTTATAATTAAGGCATGATCTGTTCTTCCCAACCACCACCGGTTACAGGCTCTCCAGAGAAGGCAGTGGCTCATTACCAGCAGGCCATCAAACTTAGTCCAAGTCATCATGTGGCCATGGTGAACCTGGGGAGACTGTACAGGTCTTTGGGAGACAACCGCGTGGCTGAAGAATGGTACAAACGGTATAGTTCCTTTTCTTCACTTTGTAAATTGCCCAAAACCTCAGCAATTGCCCATCAAGTTTTTAGTAATTGAAACAGACATACTCTCAAAATGTTAGCAAATTTTGCCCATCATCACCTCCAAAGAGAACACCACCAAACTATAAATGGTATCCTGATCAGTGGATTTCTTGACTGCTTCTTAGACTGCAGTGCCAAACCAAGGTTGTAATTTAATTCCCTTTATTTAGTCCATTGTTTTCTGAATCTATGGATTGCAACCCAAACCACAAATAGCAATTTCAAAAGTGGACGTAGGTGAAAGACTGTGCATCCATCAGACCAAGTGTATCACCATTAATGGAAAAGGTCCTTGAAGCTCAGTTTCCATACTGATAGTCACTCAGAGACATTCTAATAGTCAGAGGGTGGCATAATGATCTTTTTTTAAACATTCTCTCCTTGATTATAAAAACAAAGATCATGTTGCCGCAGAGTCCTCAAGTCATGGACAGGCACCCTGCATCTAAGTTCTGACCTTTGTAAATGTACATATTACAAGAAAAGTGTCAGTTCGTCTTTCTCAAAACTCAGCGCCCTGCAGGTGGCACGCAAAGCTGAGATACTATCCCCTTTGGGAGCATTATATTACAACACTGGCCGGTATGAAGAGGCTTTGCACATTTACCGGGAAGCTGCAGCACTTCAGCCTTCGCAAAGGGAACTCCGCCTGGCGCTGGTGAGTAGACGGACTCAAGAAAACAAAGCGGGGAACATGCACACATCAGGCAGTAGAGGGCGCTGCAGTCAGTGAGCCCCAGAACTGGACCGAGGATGCTACCTGTGATAGATGCGTTTATGAATAGCCATATAACCAATGATAGAGCCATTTGCCACAGACGTGGACACTAAAAATACTTTTAAGTTTCTATTTTCAAATAATTTCAAACTCACAAAAATTTGCAAGAATAGTAAATAACTTCCGTATACCTTTTCACCCAGAACCATGGGTTTTTAACATTTTGATGAATTTATCACACCCTCATATATATATGTTTGTATGTACATATATGTATATATGTGTATATTTAGGTAGGAAGATATGTGGCAGATACATATTGTTGCTACATACTATTTTTTTCCTGAGCCATGTGAGAGTTACAGGTCTCATATCCTTTATTTATAAAAACTTTCAACATGTAGTCCCTATGAACAAGGACGTTCTCTAACATAATCACAGTATGGTCATCAAATCCAGGAAAATTAATGTCAACCACATTTTTTATTTCAATTTTTGGATCATTACTCTTTTCCTTAGATTTGCAATAAATAAAATTTGTTATAGATGGTTATAACAAATTGTTATCTTGTTATAAACATGCGTCCTGTTGAAATCACAAGAAATAATTTCTCTTTTGGCATATTTAGTCAACGTTTTAAAAATCCACTAGTCATTTCATTGGGTATCTTTGGTGTTCCCACCATTCACACACAAATGCGGGCACATACCTAAATAAATAAACAGAGAAACAAACAAGAAAAAATTAAAACCTGTAAGCTGTGGTAACTCCTCCCTGTCTGGGAGTCCCAAATAGAAGCTGAGTGCTTGTGTCAAGAGTGTTCCAGAAGGCCTCGACTCAGGGGCGCTTTATTTGACGAGGCAAGAGCAGAGCATCCCCGAAGCCAAGGCCAGTGTGGTTTTGCAGGCCCAGGTTTTGGCCGTGATGGGTCAGACGAAAGAAGCTGAAAAGATGACCCATCACATTGTGTCCGACGAGACTGGGTGCCTGGAGTGCTACCGCCTGCTGTCAGCGATCTACAGCAAGCAGGAGCGGCATGACAAGGTAGAGAGGACACTGTTGGGGTTGTTTGGGTTCACGGGGAGCAGACGGGGTGCCCCTCAGTGATTCTGCTGTCTGCACATTTACAGGGCTGAGCAGTCCTGACTGCCGTCGTTGCCATCAGTTACCGTCTACAGACGCTTTTTGCAGATATCACTTAACTCCTAAGATATTCCCTTGAAGTAGTATTTTCTTGAGCTAAAGATTTTATGTGATACTATCTTAGTATTCAGCTAACTCTATAAAGGCTAGCATTTGAATGCTTTATCATTTCCATGTCCCTTCAAATATATTTTTTATAGAATCCACATAGCAACACTGTGGCAGGTCAGTGACTATGTGTTGCAACTATTACTGTTTATTTCCATTTTAAAAGTCAAATAACCAGGAAATCTATGAACTGACTCAACAAAATATTTATTAAATGCCTGCCATATGCCAGACACTGCGCTCAGCCCCAGGAATAACATGATATACAAACAAAAAATCACTGCCTTTGTCATGGAGTTTACAGCAGAAGGAGAGGCAAGACGAAACGAGATGATGATCAAATGTACAGTTATAGCTGTGCCCAGTAATGTTATGAAGAGTGACATGGTTCCCAACAAGCGAGGGCACTTGAGTGGCATAGAAGTTAGGTTCCTTGCAGTGTGATGTGAAGGTGAGGGCTGAGTGATCAACAGGAGTTTCTAGGGGGCAGTGAAAAGTATTCCAGGTAGGATAAAGCACACACAAAGGCACTGTGGCAGCCGTGAGTGGTCTGAGGGATGGCCATGGAGGGAGCAAGGAGTGATGTGAAATGTGGCCACAGAGGTTGCTGGGGCTGAGACCCACCAGGCTTGGGACCACTGGGACCAGGGAAAGGGTTTCACTCCTTATTGTGGGGGAAGCTGTAGGGTTTAAGGAGAAAAGCAATAAGAAATGTGTACTTTGAAGAGCTCTCTGGCTGCAGGGGGTGGGGCATTGGGCGCTGGATTAGAGTGGGCACCAGGGACCTAAAGTCCAGACGGACACATGGTCAGGGCAAAACAACCGACCGCAGATCTTGTTTCCTTTCAACTTTATCACACAACCTCCCTATAAAGTGATTCCAGGACATGTCAGTGTCACTAATGTAAATGGGAAACCCGGAGTATAGGGATATTATTTTTTTAGGGCCACATTATTTTTCAATGAACATCAGAGAGAAGGATGTGTTCTGACTGTACTCACGACACCAGCTAATACATAAGGAAAAAAAGTATACATTTTATTATTTAAGTTAGTTTTTCTTTATCAAATCTACATTTATTCTATCTTAATTTCAAACCTGTGCAGGCACTTGATGCTATAGACAAGGCCCTCCAGCTGAAACCAAAGGACCCAAAAGTCATCTCTGAACTTTTTTTCACAAAAGGAAACCAACTAAGAGAACAGAATCTTCTGGATAAAGCTTTTGAGGTATAAACACTTAATAAAATTATGTTATTAAATGTGTGAATTAAATTAATTATTAAACTTATTTATTAATGATTAGCTGTTTAAATAAATTATCAAATTATTAAATTAAAATTATTAAAATTAATCCCTCAGTTTTTCATGAAGCATATCCAGTACAATTTAAGACCATTGGCGTGTTTGTGGAGTGAATTTTCTGATTGATTAGCATGATGTTATACTTTCCACAACTGGACCTCTGGCTTCTGACTGTTCGGAGTTCCACGATGCCCGGGCACTGTTTTCTGGATGATCAGCTTCTGTCTGAAGCAGCCCCACATTTCCCCCTCATACCAGCTTCTCTCCGTGCCAGCCTGCAGTGACCCTCTGTCCCAGCGGGACCCATACCTGAAGAGCTTCGGGCACTGCCACGTGTCCCTGTAACGCCCTCGCGCTCTGCACCCCTCGCGGATTCCCTCTCATCTGCCAGTACCCAGCCTGTGTCCTCCCGGGAGCCCATCGGGACCTCCCTTCCCCTCCATGACCTTGTTCCCTCCCAACTCTTACAACACTTAACTGTCTGCACCAGTCGTCTGCAAGTGTCATATACTAATTGCGTTGCTAGGTGTCTTTCTCTCTCCTCTCCTTTTTCCCTGCCACACTGCCTCTGTGCACAAGCATGTGTGTGGTGTAGCTCCCAGTTAGATGGCACTTTTCTCTGTGGAAAGACACTGCTTCCTTCTGTACTCAGAAACATGGTATCTTGCATGTGAGGTGTTCAATATCCACAGCTTTCAAATAAAGTCTATATATAGTTGGAAATAATAAAGATACTACAAATTGAAATATCAGACTTTTTCCTTGTACCTGATAAAGCCACAACTTGGAAGTAGTGAAGTTGTAAAATTATGCTAACTATATTATGGGAAGAGTAAAATTCCAAATAATATAACTGTTCTTGAAAATAAATAGTGAGTGGCTTTTAAAACACATGTAAAGACATTTGGAAAAAAACACCTTGAATGTGAACCCTTAAAACAGAAGTGGTGTAATAACTAACATGGCAATTTAATGATTAATGATAACTTGATTATGAGTATTTAATTTATAGATAGATTTGCCTATACACTGTAATGGAAACAAAATATTTTCTAGTTGCTTGGCCAGTGGATCAGATAATCAGAAAGTGACTAGATTTATGAAGAGTAGGGCCATTGGCTTATAATAGTAGCTAAAATGTATTAGCATTTTTATGTATGATTCACATGTATTAAGTAATTTAATCTTCACAACAATATGTAAGAAAGGCATGGTTACTGTCTCCATTTTACAGTTGAATAAACTGAGACTCAGAGGTTATGTAACTTGTTCAAAGTCACACAGAGGGTAAGTGATGGAGGTAGGATTTGAATCCAGGTTCTTAATTTCTACCCTAAACTCCCATCTCTGTTGATTTAAATTAACCCGAGAGACACATCCTTCAAGTTTATTTAGCAGCTTTTTAAGGGAATACTTTCTTATTGTTTGCTTGTTTCTCCTAAAACTGAAGTAGAGGAGAGATGGACCAGATTCTGTTTACTTTATGGAGCTTTTCAGGGGATTCTTGCTAAGGAAAATAGCACAGAGCATTGAAATATACACATGGATACTTAGCTTTGTAATTGAAGGTAGCACTCTAAGCTGTTAGCTTCGTTTAAGGTGATTGCCCTTAAAATCAAGACGCGGTGGTGAGCATGCCTCTGATGCTGCGTGCAAAATATTAAAAGAGGTTCTCACATTTATTACATTTAATGGGATTCATGTTTTCAGACTTGAGGGACAGGTAACTCTTTAAACATCTGAAGACCTTTCATATGACAGAAGAAAAAGAAAGGCTTTCTAATGATTAAAATGATCCCCTAGGAAAATAGATGTCCTAAAAAAGTAATGGCCATCGTGTCACTGCAAGAATTAGAGCATGGGATGTGTACCCAGATCAGTGATACTGCAGAAGGGGGTTCTCCACTAGGGCTGAGCTGTTTGGGAAACTGTTTGAAGATTCTGTGACTATATAAAGAAAAGTTTTCTTTAAAACTCCATTTATAGTGGAAAAAGCCAAAAAAGCCCAGTTCTCTTGCAGGTCAAGGCCAGCAGGAAATGATGCAAATAATAGAAATCACCCATGTTCCCCGCAGGCGTCTTCGCTGTCTTCAAGTCCAAAGGTTAGCTCTGCAAGCAAATTACATAGTTCCATTTCCTCTACTTTAGAACCATCACCTTTGAAAAATAATAGAAATAAACGGGAACACCTGTGAACTAGTAGTGGCTGGTTCCATTGTATTAAACCATTTAGATTTTCACATATGAAGAAAGTGGTTTCTGCAGTCCTGTTGCGTTAAAGATGGGTTATCATTTCTCAGCCTGAAGATATTGCTTATATATTTAGAGCTACAAAGCAGCCGTGGAACTGAATCCAGATCAAGCACAGGCCTGGATGAACATGGGTGGGATCCAGCACATCAAGGTAGGAGGATAATAATGCATTTCCATGTGAACTGGGTTTTCCTTTGGGTTTTGTCTGTCTTCTGCCTTAAAAGCTTGAGAAACTGTTGTTAGTTTCTTCTTTTGAGTTATTTGAATACCAAAAATACAGGTGTTTTAAAGAGAAATTAGCACAGTTTATGTTCACTTTGTATTATCAAGATATTAAATATAAAGCCATTTTAAAAATGAATTTATAAATTACATGATTTTACTTAACACAGAGAATATATGTACCTAAAGAGAAGTATCTGCATACAACAAATGTAATTAGCGTATGTGAACTAAATCTTGTTGGAGGGTAGTGTAGCTTACTTTCCTGCAATTTAACCTACGTCAAGATTAATGTGTTACTTTAAATATTACTTCACTGTTTCTTGTATTAATGTATCTTTTACTCCCTGACATTTTACTGAAAAACAAGGTTGTTTGTTTGAAAAAAGATAAGCTACCTTTGAGTGAATCATTGAAAATGATCTTTGGGGGCCATCTCATCTATAACTAATGAAATCAAAGACTGACCATCATTCATTCACACATTGACTTGACAAGCATTTATAGGGAAGCTTCTGTGTGCCAGGTACTCTTTTAGGCACTGAGAATATAGCAATGAACAAATAAGACAAAAATTCCTGTCCTCTTGGAGCTAGAATCCTAGTAGGGGGGAGACAGGCAATAAATAAACACATACATGCATACCTACATACATAAAATATATCAGATGATGATAAGTGCTATGGAGAAAAAAAGACGATAGGGTGTACCAGGGATAAGGGCTGAAATTTTAAAGTAATGTAGTTAGGGAAGGCCTCAGTTAAAAAGTGACATTTGAGCAGAAAGCTGAAGGAAGCAAGCCACCTGGCAAAATACAGAAAGAGCATGTGCAAAGGTCCTGAGGTGCAAGAGTACTGGCTGTGTTTGGAGAACAGGGAAGAAACAAGTGGGATGAAATAGGAGAAGCTGGATCAGAGAGGTCACAGGAAAGATCATGAAGGGACTTGAGGGGACTGTAGGGTCTTTGGCTTTTATGCCATGCCAAATGAGTTGGGGTCCATGGAGGACTTTGGGCAGAGAAATGCCATGGTCTGACATATTCTGACGTGTTTTTAAAGGATCACGCTTGTTTAGCTAATTACTTTCAGGCTTCTATCAATATGCTGATAACATAGCAATTTAGTGATTAGAATTTAAAACAAGGTCTAACAGGGTTTACTATTGAGTGGAAACTGGTCACTCTCAGAAATACAACAAAACAAACAGGTAACCCATGACTACATAGCTGGGAGGGGATAAGGTGATAGTTACTGGCAGCATTGACCTCACAGAGGAACATAAACGGTGAATACAAGCATGATATTTATCAGAGCAGAATGTCCTGAGCTCTGATCTTAATGGTCATCTAGGGTGGCCAGCAACATCTAGTTGGGAAAACATAGAATGAACTTCCTTTTAAAATAGTAAAATCATTTAAAAAATTTAAAAATTATGCTAAATAGTTATATTTTAAAATAATATGCTCAGTATTTTTTAGATGGAATGCACTTGCATTTAAAGCAATGGATTCTATTGTTAATTAGAAAAAGTACAATAAGTCCACTGAAGACTTTTCCAAAAAGTCTGGAAATAACAGAGAAAATAGTATATTTACTGAACTCTTTCAGATTAACAAGTGAACCTAGCTTTAAATCTGGAGGTACTTCCCCTGAGAAGGTGTCTGGAGATTGAAGAAGGATCTATTGAGTGTATTATTTTAAAATGTAGTGAACTCACTGGCTAAAAATTGGTTTACCCTATTTTTCATCTTTGTGGGCATCATGGATTAGGTTGAACAGTTTAAAATTGCCATGTTTACAGTTTAAAACTGGTGTAATATCAGTGAATTCATGTGGTGCAATCCAATATAAATATAGTCTGGGCATAGGCTTGGATGTGGTCATTGTGACGCAACGATTAGGATGCAGGATTATCACCTGTATCAGCCTGAAAGAACAACCTTGACCTTCTGTCTTTCCAATGCCAGGTGGTGTGTGCATCAGGCCATGTTATCCCGTTCCTGGCTTCACTCGTTCCCCACGCCTGGGTGCAGCTTAAGCACTGAGGGCCAGGAGAGGTTGCGAGCTGGAATAAGGCTCTGCAAGGAGGTGACTTGAAGAGATGAGGAGAAGGGAGTTGTCTCTTGTTCACACTATTTTGATATAAAAGATGACCATTTTTATGAAGTTTTATAAAGGAGAAGTGATGGGTCAAAAAAGCTAAATTACATTGTTCAGAATCAAAGAGTTGCATCAGTGGGGCCATAACACGACGCACTATGTTCTGTACTGCTTTGTGACATCAGTATACATTTTCTAGAATGGTACTGTCCAATAGAACTTTCCGCAATGAGGGAAATGTTTTGTATCTGTGGCGCTCAAGTCAAGTGGCCTGTAGCCCCACGGAGCTATTGGGTACTTGAAATGTGGTTGGTACAACAAAGCAGATGAATTCTTAATCATAATTTGAATTTAAGTAGACAGGTGATGGGTGGCTATCATAGTAGGTAGCACATTCAGAAATAAGATAATTCAATAAGATAAGATAGTTCAGATTGCCTACATAGCATCTCAGAATTAAGGACCTCGAACTAAGGGATGTAACTTTTTTCTTAATAAGTCTTCCAATCTAGTCAAGAAAATAGTAATTTGAGGGAGAGAAAATAACTCTGATTAGATTTTGTATGAAAGGACAGAGAAAGCTGGTGATCAGATAATGAGATATCAAGGCACTGGGCTGAGGCTTACATTTAGAGAAAACTCTTAGTTTGACAATTTCAAGATCAGCTGCCGTGGAAATATATTTGGAGAGCGCCGAGAGCTACAGACATCTGGTTGTCTGCATGAATGTGCTTAAGCTTCATGAGCTTCCAAAGACACTTGGAAGATACATACTTATGTTGAAAATACAATCATTTAATATGGCAAACCCAGGTCCTCACTTTTTCAGAATTCTCTTTAGTCTCTTATCAGAATCAGTGTTAATAATTGGAAATGTTTTCATTTGTTCACACACCAGAGCCTGGTTTCCCACATGTACAAGCTCCTGTTCTGTCATTTCCATTGTTCTGTCGACAATATGACAGCTGAATGCTGTAAGAAATGGACAGCGTTTACAGAGCCTGGATGGTCATTTAATAGTAGCAATGACGATAATAGCGACAGTATCAGATTAAGTGCTCAGTGCGTGTCAGACGGTGTCTCAGATAATTCGGCATCAGTAAATAGTAGTTGCCATTTTCTGCACTGTACTGTCACGGTGAGAGATACCATTTGATGGAAATTTAGAGAGTAACAAGTTTTCATCCACATGGGGCCATAACTTACAATAAAGTAGAGCAAATTCTTTGTTTTTTGGAATAGAGAGAACTCAGTCAGAGTTCTGAGACTTGGTAGGACATAGATCTGAAAGATGGTGGAGCAAATAAGGAAGGTGATACATTTAATGGCAGAAAAGGGCATGGAAAAATGTTAATAATTGAAACTTACTCACCAAGGACCATCTGGGACATGTGGTTTTCCAGTTGGGGAGTCACTGAAATAAAGCACATCAGGGCCAGCAGAAGGCAGAGGCCTTTATCAGGTCAGGAGTGGCCTGCCCCCCCTCCTGCTTTAGAGTATCCAGCAGGTACATATTGTCACACACCTTGAGTATTGGGTACATTTGACTCCATATTCTTATCAGTTTCCATTTTATAAAAACTTACATTTACATTAAAGCCTTATTAGGCAAAAGTCACTTTTATGTTTTAAGTTGAAGATTAGAATTAAAACTCCTGCTAGTGAGGAGGCTTAGTGGATTCTTAAACTATGGCATCATTGTTACTCTTGCCAGGGTTCCTGGTAAACTGGGCCAAGTCTGTTTCTTAGCGTCGGAGAACGTGTTCTGATAGATCAGAATATAGTTGTCCCCCTATTATGCTTAGTACACATGGTGTGGGGGATCACAGGGAGAAGAGTGTAGCACAGAGAAGGGACATAGTGGATCTGTGGCATCTTGCTGCACTGATGGACAGTGACTGCATTGGGGTATGGCAGGGACTTGATAATATGGGTAACTGTAGTAACCACATTATTTTTTCATGTGAAACCTTCATAAGAGTGTATATCAATAATACCTTAATAAAATAAGAATATAGTTGTCGCCTTTCTTTTCTCCCACAGGGAAACTATGTGTCTGCACGAGCTTATTATGAGAGAGCCTTACAGCTGGTTCCAGACAGCAAACTGCTACAGGAAAACCTCGCCAAATTGGACCGCCTGGAAAAACGATTACAAGAAATTCGAGAAAAGGATCAACCGTAGCAGCATTTGACCCAGTCTCAAGGGACGGCGCCAGTGTCTCTGGCTAAGGAGGAAGTGGCGGAAGCCTTGCTCACCTATCATCAGAAACTCAACCAGTGAAGCTTTCCCCTCATGCGAGCTCCGAGGGTGCGACTGGGAAAGCTGGTAACCCTGTGCTGAGGGACTTGTATTTTCCACAGGAGACAAGAAGACCAAGCGCGCTGGAGGTGTGAGGGGGAAAGAGAACAAGTCCTACACCTTTGACAGGTGGTTGTTGGCTTTCATTCCAGATTTCCCTTCATATATTTCCCTGCTTTTCCAAGCTGGAAATCTGATTCCATCTCTTCGTGTGGGCACAGATGCTTGAAATTCTATAGTGCAAAGCATCTCTTCTTGATGAGATGAGATACTTCAAAGAGGAGAAATCTGGGATAAGCCCCTGGGGAATTCTAAAAAGAGGTGGCTCGTTTAGTTCTCCAGAACCAGAAATGAGTATCTAAAGTTTTTGTAGAACCTTCTAGAACATGTGGGGAAAGGGCTCTTGTTAAGTGAGTTTTATCTAATGGCCCCCTAAAGGTATTGCTAGAACCCTGTTGAAGAGTAAATTAAATTCCACTCTGGTGCAAGCTTTCCCCTTTGCCTCATGTATCACAGAGTAAGCTTCTCGAATTGTGTGGATATTCTTATCCGTAGGGGAAAATCGAGGATCTTGGTACCCCTAATTCTTCATGAAAATGTTTAAGACTATTTTAATTTTATTACAAGTATTACTAGAGTAGCTGTTCCACTCTACAATTTCAAAAGTGCTTTTAAAATCATAAACATTTCTGCCTCCAAATATATTGTTATTTTGGTGGAGAAAAAAATAGTATATTCTACATGAGAAATATTAAAGCTATTAACAGAGAAATGTTCTACTTTATTATCTTAACATTCAGACATCCTGAGGTTTATTATTTTTTTGAAAAAGATATTTAACTGTTGAGGAATCTTTACAATATATCACAAAGATCTCATAGAGTCTAAATAGATAAAGGGAGCGCTATTGGTTTGTCTTCCTAGGCTTAGTGAGAATTCTGTGCATAGAACCCTAGTTATAGAAACTCAGAATTCTTAGTTCTGGGTCTGTAATTTTTGGAGCTTTTATGGAAAACACTCAAAAAATCTAGGAAAAAAGTTTAAATTCATAATTTTAAATATATATATTTATATTTAAAAGATAGGGATGGCAAAGGTGAACTTAAAATTTGACATTTGTTTCTTAGCATTATTTATTCATAACTTATAAACTATTTAATATATGTATGCACACACATTTTCCTCTCTGTACCTAGTGGTTTTAATAGCAGCTTTCAAAACTGATCATACAAAAATTATAAATGTAAGTTACAAAGTAGTTGAGTCTTAGCCCCTTAAAAAATGTGTATTGATTATTCACTTGCTAAAGATAAAGAAATTAGGAATCAGCCCTAATTTCAAATCGGAACAAATCAGAACACCTGAGTCTACGGTGGCCATTGTCATAAACTTTTTTTTTTTAAACCTGCTCTGGGCAATACTGTTCATGGTGCTGAGCCGGGCGTCATATAGATGCGTCAGTCTGGAGGCACGGAATCGCACAGGCCCAGGCGGGGGCAGGGTAAAAAGCCTTGTCTTTTCAACTCAGTGTCAGGAAGCGCTGCCCCTCTCTTGTGTCTTTGTCAAGGTAAGTGTAGGTGAAATGAAGGGAAACCTCCTTGGAAAGGGATGATGGGAGGGCTATTTTAAATGCAAACAATTATGGAATTTGAATTAGCGTACTTGTGTTCATGTGCATCAATGATGTTTTTATGTTACCATTATAATCGTCTGCTAATGCCTTTTAATGCTATACATCATAAATTTATCCAAAATGGTATTAAAATAGTTTTCTTCCTTCCAAAATTATACTTCTATAGTCCTAAGGCCCAGACTTGTACTACAGTGCTTACAATAAAGTAACCAGCCCACCCCCAAATGGAAACACATGTAGCCTAGCTAAAAACAGTATCTAGAACTTTAATCCCAATTTTTAAGAATGATCTGTAACCAGAACTCAAGCTTAGAAAGTGAATGGAAAAAAAACTGAGCCCCAAATTTTGGAAAACAATTATGCCTTAATTGAAGTGCTGCTAAAGGTAGGAGAGGACATTCGGTAGGATAATACAGATTTATGGCCTAAAAGTTCCCGAAAGAAAAGGGTCACGTGGCCTTCAGGAGACTTTATGCCTTCTGGGTGCTTTTCTCTTCCTCTGTCTCTGTCTGTCCCTTTCTCTACTTCTCTTCCTCCTTATCTCTTTTTTGTCACTCTGTCTCCTGTCTGCTCACATCTCTTTGAACGTAACAGTAACACTGTTGGTTGGATCGGGTATTTCTGTCTTGTGTTCATACCTTCACTGAGATGTGGCCAGTGGAATAGCTTTCATAGTTGAATTGTGCCTACAAGAAAATACACCACATGTTATTTTTCAAAGACATTAGGTATATTTTATAACTTCTTATTTGTTCTTGTAACATGAAATAATATGGGTAATTTGTCCATACCAAATTAAAAAAGGAGTGCCCTGGCTAGTCGTGGGGATGGACCCCGGTCGCCCTTGATGAAAGCATGTTGGCGCGTGGGCTGGTAGCCCCTTCCGAGCTGGAACTGCACAGCCAGCTTCGGGGATGTGCACCCCTCGGGGCTTTGCCCTCAGAAGCCCCTCGTGCTTGGTTGAATGCTCTGCCTCAAGTTCGTAAGGTATTATTTTTGAACAAGGGGGTCCCACAATTCCGCTTTGCACTGGGTCCTTAACTAGGCCCTGAGGACAAGACAGGAGTCGCTTTAGTGTGTCTGAACACTTGATCCAGTGATCAGAGTTTCATGGGAGTGTGTCTCTGAGCAGCACGTGCTGTTTTTATCTCCGCTGCACATTGAGTTCCTTGCGTACATATATCCCCATCTTGCCAATCTTTCTAACCTGTTCTTCCTTCCTACCTAGAGCCAATTCTCCTTGCCTTCAAAGTCCCCGATAATGGCAGTCCTTTAACATGTCCTTTGACATAGGGGCCATAAGAATGGCTTTGCAAATGTATTTCAACCTTTAGAATTATTCAGGATTTTTAAAATGATTCATGTTTTCAATCTGTTGATGGTATTCGTAAAACATGGTTCGATGATGTAACATAAGTGAACTAGACCAAAGATACCTTAGAGGGAAAGGCAGTTTCATGAATCCTGAGATAGATTCTTTGGGGTTTGTTTACTTTGAAGTCTATCACAAAACAAAGAGGATCACCAGCAGTTCAATTCCAGCTCCCACTCGTACTTCGCAGCCCTGCACCAGCTCCTGGCGCTCCTAACAGGTAGCAACCGTTTGATGCAGGGTTTTGCAGTGGTTGTACAAATGCTCCTATGCAACTGCTTTTCAACAAGACTCATTGAGAAAATCCAAGGCTTTCTAAACCCACCTACAAATACTTTAAGTTGATGGGGAATAAAAATAAATGTGTGGTTTCTTATTGTCCCTAGTAAACATTGCAGGCCCCTCAGATAGAAAAGCTGCATTCAGCTAATAGTTGAGATCTATTCCCTCACACAGTGGGGCTCTCAACCCTGGCTGGACTTTAGGATTTTTATGATTATTCTTGAAATTTTGATATAAAAGCAAAATATGTTGGACCGTTCTAAAAATAGCACTTCCCTCGTTGGTTTTGTTTGTAGTAGCCCTATAACTTAAGGAGAATAAATAAAGAGCAACCAAAGGAATGTTTTAATATTAGTAAAATAAAATGGCACAACAGAATTGATGCCATTCATATCTGCCCATTGGCTCATATAAAAATGTTCCATTTAATCACCAAAGATCTTTTAATAGAAACCTTTAGGACATGTAGCCCCATAAAATCTATACCCTTCATGATATGTGGTTTTTACCAGTTTCTAAGTTTAGACTACCATTCACTTCCCAAACTGGAAAGATGTGTCTGTGTGCAGAAATCCAGGAATTCCTTCTCATTCTCAGTGAATGTATTTGTATCACGTTTGGAAGATTCCAGTGTGCATTAGTCCTTTTGAGGCAGTCTGGGTGGTCCACAGGAAGGGTGACCCAGTCCAAGGAGCAGGAGATCAGGTTCTAGTCCTGCTCTGCTGCAAGGAGCTGCCTTACCCTGGGCAGGTGACTGAGTATCTCAGTCTGTTTGTCACCTGGTCAAGGACTGGTTAGTTCTGTGGAACTGTCAAGCCCTAGGAGTCCCCTAAAACTAGCCTGAGAGCCCTCTACATCTAAAGAGATACCTGATAAATGTTGCCCTTTGTTCTAGAAATTCTTAAGATAATCACCACACCAAAACACATTAAAAGTAAATGCACTGCCCAGGTGCTTTAACTTGGCAGGGGAAACTACTCTGAATTTTGCACTCTTGCGCACATAAAAATTAGTGGTTTTGTTGTGATTACTGAGGGGAAAAGAAAACATTTTTAAAAATTTCCTCCTAAGGCACTAGAATATCTGTAGAAGCCACGGCTTGCTTTTATAATGTGGAGATCATTTAATTGCTGTGACTCACCCTAATCCCTCCTTTTGTCAGGGAGAAATGATTTTTACATTGTGTTCTTTGTTCATAATTCTTTTATTTTGTACTTTGATCAGTTGTATGTAACTGTACATTTCTGTTAACTTTTGCTGTGCCAGTTAGAAATATATCTCCCATAAAGTATTTCGTCCATTTAAGTCAGTTTATGTATACCATGCCTAGGTCCTTCCAAATAAAGTTTATGTAAATGTCTATTTTATATAAAATATAATGAAAATAATCATGTCGTTTCAGTCTCTCAAGTGCTCCGTGGTTAATACCCATTGAAATCCATGTCTCCAGTAGGTGTGGCCCTTAAAAATAAGAAAGACCAGCCTCCTGCCCTTATTCATCCATTTATTGCATCTTCCTGTGTGTTTTGTGGTAGCTCGTTCCCATACCCCACAATCCCGCTTTAGTCCTTGCCTGCTACAGATCTCCCCTCATCTCGCTGAGTAGATGCCTTCACCTCCTTCTTCAGAGTAAATAAAAGGTAGAAAACAAATGTCCCCTCAATGTCCTGCACCCATCTACACACTTACCTCCTAGAGAAGAGGGTCTGAGGCTCTGGGTTTTGCCTCATATGGTATCTTCATTCCATCCCTTCACCTCTTTCTTTTTCATCTTTCACATCTTCCTTCTGGATCCTCCTGTCAGTTCTCTCCTATTTTAAAACACATACACAGGAAACCACCATCAAAAGCATTTGGGAAAAAACATCCTTCCTGTATTCCTGTTCATCGCTAGCTACTACCACATCTCCTTCTGCCCTTCACAGCCAAATTGAATGAACTGCCTTCCTGCATTCTTGTCCCTCCATCCTTCACGTTCCCGCTGCATCAGTGATCTCTGTTCCTGCAAGAGACACGCAACCTGTGAGACTGCTGTCTCCTGAGGTCACCAACAATCCCCTTAGTGCTGAATCCTAGGCCTTGTGGGACTTTGGAGAGGGTTCTAGAGTTAGACCAGTAGTTTCACAGGAATGGAGAAACTTTTTTTACACAAACATTTCCCCGTAATTCGCTCATTGCTCATGGGTTAGTCACCTAACACTCCTGGTTTTACAGCTATCCTTGAAGAGTCGGGAGTTCCATCAGGAGTCTTGGAGGGCCCTCAGTAGCAGATGGTCATCCCGTACAAATGAAAATATGTTCCTATTAAAGGCAGATTATCCATACATAACAAATCCAACCTGGGATTGTCCAGCCCACTCTGCCCTTCTTTGACATCTTTTCTAAAGTGTTTTTTTTTTCCACCTTAAATAAGAGAATACTTCCATTTGGACTGTTCAACATTGCTGCAAACTCAACTTACTAGCAAATTTAAATCTAAAACCAAGGATCTGGCTGTTGGGTATTATGCAATTCGTATTTCCTGGCTCTTTTCCTGTTTAATGGAAAGGCGTTTCATAAGGGGGTTCAGTCCTCTGGGTAGAAGAACAGGGCTCACCTGAGGCTGTGAGTTTTGAACTCTGCAAAGAAAGGGGGCTGCCCTGTAATAGGAAATGAGGCAGTACCTGACCCCATCCAGACTCCCAGGGGTCACACCCATCACTGAGGATCCTGCAGAGCTGTGTGTGCATCCGGGACATGAGCCCCATGAGCAGGTTAGTCATGCACTTGAACACTGTGGGGCCAACTGTACTTACAGAGAACATGTACATTTTTCCTTTTCGCATTTTATTTGGTAACAGCATCCTAGTGGTTTTAATCTGACCTCTTACTAAGAATAAAGAGGAATTTGGGCGCATTTGGAGGGGCTGAGCCTTACTTGGAGAGTAGTGTGCCCCTGGAGCCAAGGATGATGGGAGCACTCTTGTGAGATCACTAACGCTGAAAGCAGAATTCAGATGAGAGTGGAGGGGTCCATCGGCCGGGCAGCACCATACCTGGGCGTTTCCTTCATGGTGGCTCAAGCCTGGGGATACAACATGTTATTTTCACAGAAGACCTGTTCATTTTTCCTAAACCTCCAGGGTCCCTTAGACACCCAGGCTTGAAATCCAGGAGTCATCAAACTCAGAGTGTCACCCAAGTTGTCTTTATTTAAAATGCACACTTTAAATCAAACGGTGCTACCCTCAAGAGAGGTGCAGTCCCATCGCACTGTCTGTGGTGACAGAAGTGTCCTCTCTCTTTGCTGTCCAATATAGTAGCTACTAGTCACACTTGAAATGTAGTGAGTGGGACTTAAGAATTAAGTTTTTAATTTCAGTTAATATTAAATAACCACATATTGCTAGTGTCTGCTATATTGGACAGCACAGCTCTAGAACTTTTCAATGTTGTAAGACATGGAACATAAGAAACACAAACACAAATCCTCTTCGAGTTCATGAGACAGGAAGGTTTGAGACGGTATATTTCAAGTCTGGGTGCCAGTCACATTCTTCAAGCTTTTTCCCCAAAAGGCGCCCATCACCTCTGCTCCCTTTACAGTCCCAGGGGCCATGGCACGCAGCCACCTGCATTGCAGGCAGTCACCTGCCTGTTTCTGCACCTAATCCTCCACCTCGACTGTCTTCCTGTCCATCTGGCTGCCCACTGCCTCTCTCCCTAATTTGTGTGCCCTCCCACCTCAAAGAGTTTTCAGCTCTATTTTACACAGCAGAGAGACAACTGGGCCTGGGAGATTGGTGCCTGTTAGTTGATACATATGTATAGAATGCCCACTTAACTAATTTTTTTGGTAAGATATAAATCCATGACAAACTCTGTCTTTATTGCACCCCCAACCTCAAGCTAACTTACTATGAAATATTTAGGGAAAATAGGCTGACATGTTCATCTTATCCCTGCATTCATTTAAATAATCTTGAATGAGGGATCCTACAACAACGTTAGTCCATTCCATTAAAGGTGATAACGCCGCCACCCAGGAAAGAAAAGCACAGCCACAAAGACGCGGTCCTTCAGCCACTCTTTGAAAGCTGAGTGTCCAAGGTGTCAACAAGCTGCTTGGCATCGGGGCCGGTCCTGCTAAGTGCCCAGCCAGCTTTCGGGCGTCCTCCTCCTTGCAGAAGTGGGCCTGCCTGGGGCGCGGGCCGCACTCCTGGCCCGGGGCGGAGCTCGTTCACCTGCGCGGCTCCCTCCTCGCACCTGCCCGAGGGCCCGCGCGCACCGCGCTCCCGTGTCCGGGGAAGGAGGCCGGGCGCGCCGCGACACCTGCGCTTCCCTGGCGGGAGGCAGGGCTGGGCCGGCGGCGCGGCAGGTGCGGGCCTCGGGCGGGGCCGGGAGGGCGGCGCGCAGGGCGTGCGGAGCACGGGGCGGGAGGCTGGGGCTCCAGGCAGGCGGGGCCCGGGGTCCGGCGGGCGTGCGGGGCTCTAGGCACGCGGAGCGCGGGGCGCGGGTGGGCAGGCGGGGCAGGAGCGCGGGGCCCGCTGGCCGCTGGGTTCCGCAGCCGGCGGAGGAAGGCGGGCCGGGCTCGCGCCGGGGCCATGCGGGCGGCGGCCAGGACGGTGGGGCTGCTTCTGCTGCTGGCCGCAGGCCTGCCCCGGAGCCGCGGTGAGCCGGACCCCAGGCGGGCCCGGGCGCAGGGGACGCGGTCCCGGCGCTGAGCTGCCGGCGGCGGGGGCGGGGCGGGCGGCGGTCCCGCACAGGGGCCGGGGTGGCTCTGAAGTTTGGGTTCTGGAGCCCAAGTGTGTAGGCGCCTCACCTCACCCCGCTGGCGCTGAGGAGCCTCCTCCCAGGAGACATAACAGATGTAAGGAACTAGAGCAAGGATCTCCCTGCCGGGGAGCACGGGTCGCCCTCCGGTGTCTTTAATCCGAGCCGAATTGTGTAGCAACCTCAACTGAGAGGCTGTGCTCGCCCCCGAGAGTGCACCCCGAATCAGCCACCGGACGGAGGGCGGGCTCATCCTGCGCCCAGGTCTTTGCTGCTGCAAAGGGCAGGGGAGTCGTGAGCCAACTTGGGGTGAGGGTGGGATAGTCTCAGGATTATCTTGAGAAAAGAAAGGGGATTACCTACAGCCGAGCAGAATCAGAACAGCTGTGCCAGGTCAGGAACGTCTGAAGGGGAGTCTTGATGAAGTGAACCCCTACGTAAGTATGTGTCTGTGCGTGCACACGTGTGCTCTCCCACACAGGACTGAAGTGTGGGATCCGGGCAGTTGGTTTGAAAAGTACGGAAACTGTCTTGGAATCTGGATTCTTCTCTAGAATCACTCGTTGGAGAAATTCAGCAGTTGGCGGACATTCGTGGCAGGTCAGTATGACAAATATATTGATTTCTTAATGAGAAATGGTGAATTACTTCCTTGGTTTCAAAAGCACAACTCCAAGTTGACGTGTAACTTTTGTCATGACCCCACTCAACCTGTCTGCCAAAAAGTATACTTCATAGGAAGTATCTTACGAACCAACATATATCTGTATCTTAAGACTGTTACATTAGGAGAGTTGATCTCAAATGTATCTCTGAAGGACGGGGCATCTATTGATGCCGGGGTTCTTGTTCACGAAGCCGAAGAATGAGCTTCACAAACACTCAAGGTAGGAGAGCAAGGTACAGGCTTTTATTTAGAGATAAAGTGAGAGGACAGAGCTCCTGGCCAGGAGGGGACAAGAGAGTCTGTGGTGGTGCGTCGTCTAGGGGTTTTATAGAATTTCTAAGTTGAGGATTTTTCGAGAACATGAAAAAAAGATTGGAGGTGGACTTTTTAAGTGGTCCCAGGATATTTAGAATTAACTTAACACAAGTAAGTTCCTGCTCTGTTGACTTCTCCCTCAGATACCAGCATCTTGGTCTGAGGGCATATGAAACAAGGCCACCTGCTCAGCTCCCAAGGTGGGCTGGGGTATTGTTTGCTAAAGAGTAAGTTAAGTGCAATCTTTAAGGTGGAATCCTTCTTGCCTTTTACTGTGTTACGGCTGGGCTTGCGCACTAAATTAGTTTGCCCAGTTGGCAAAATCGCTTCATCGGATCTGAAGGAGGAAAGACAGCACGTAGGCCTGGGCCTTTTAACATGTCAAAGTGAATCTTACACATGATTATAAATGATTAGAATAAAATAAACATGTTCTACTCTTCTTTATCTGGGGTGTACTAAGTGATCTCACTGAAGAATGACTCTAGAACTGAATGTTTAAAGCAGAGTTTTAGTAGGGGGTTTCCTTGCATGTAGGTACATTGCTCTGACTGCAAATATCCTGCCTTGATTTTTCCGGAGGCCCTCACCCTACTCTGACTACACCCATGGTCCCTGTCTCACTATGAGGAAATGTACATTAGTTGTGTTTGTGACTTTTTTCTTGGGCAGGTCTCCCTAAAATTAGGTGAGCACCACTTCTGTGGAGGAAGCTTGATTCAGGATGATCTGGTTGTTACAGTGGCGCGCTGCCTGGGTAGCCTCTCTGAGTAAGTTCTGGATTTCCATTACTTATCAAAACCCAGTTCATGACGATAGGACTGGGAGATTTGATGCTCCAAATACCATGCAAAATTCAATATCAGTCCCCTTCATAATTTTTCCACCTGGTCCCCCCAACCACTGAGCTTTCAGAGCCCCAGAAATTTGTATGTGTCTCAAGATTGCCCACACTTCCTACTCTACGAATCAGAGACCTCAGAGATCCCAGACATCATCTATAGTTTGTGGAGTTAGTGGTAGGGTGGGGATGGTAGTTACTTGTTATAATGAAATATTAGCATCAAATGTTGAATGGATACTCCAAAGTTTTAATCTGAGCTTCAGCCATTAGGAGGGAAAAAATGCTGTGGAAATAACAGATACTTAGCTAGATTAAAAGAGGGCACCAATAGGAGGAAAAGAAGGACAGTTCTAGGAACAATTTTTATATCTTGTTAAAAAATGGTAGAGTGTGTATATATATATAGACTGGTCTATGTACAAAAGAAAAGGAGGCCATACTTAAATATTTTATGAAGAAAGAATTGATGGTATGGGTGAGGGATCACAGAATGTAAACACTCTGTGACCGACTGAAACTGGGGGTTTTCATAGGTCCCTATGATTTATGGGGAGTTATGACAGTAGTAATCACTAATAAAGGTACATTAATCATTTTTCATCTAAGTACAGAAATACTGACAGGTACATGAATCATTTTCCATTTAGTTACATAAAACCAAGACAGTCTGTCTTGGGGAAATAACCACACTTACGGAAACATTTTCTTCGGCTTTAGGATGCAAATGAAGAGTCTGATGGTGACGGCTGTTGAGAACAACTTCTTTCAGAAGTATGAGCAAGAACAGAATATTCGTGTCTCAAAAGTTGTCATCCATCCTGAATACAGCAGACTTCAGTATATGAGTCATAATATTGCACTGCTGTTTCTAAAAAGCAAAGTCAGGTCTGGTAAGTAGGAAGAGAGAATATAAAAAATGTAGGAGAAAACTGTGTTTATTACTTCTGTACTAGTTAACTTTAATTTCTATGTGTATATCTAGCTGAAGAGTCTGAAACATTTGAAAACGTCCTGAGAGACTTCTTTTTGTTATTATTGTAGATTAGATATGTGACACCCTCTCAGCATAGGTATCTAATTTAAACATTCTGGATAAAATATTAAAACCTGTTTTGTTTTGTTTTTTCTTAAATGCAAAAAAGAAAAGTGTTCATTGTCCCCAAACAATGAAACAACACAAATGCAGAGGCGTCAGCTAGGCAATGAAGTAAGCAACTGCTGTAGGGTCATCTAATTGATCTCTAAGAATTTAGAGCTTTAACTGGAGGCTGCATGGAAGTAGGGGTGGGGGATGGGAGAGTGATTGGAGTCTCTGTGTAACCTGGGACTTCCTAAAATGTGATGCTTTGAAAGAGAGGGAAAGAGAGAGGGAAATACTCCATATGAAGTAGGGGAATAAGGAACTTACCTGCTTGGACCTTGGCCTGGATGGAGGGTTGTTTGATGTTGGAATTCACATTACCTGTGTCCAAGAATTCCAAGCCAAGACTTTAATTAAGTTATTCCAGGTGAGTAACTGGGGCTTCCAGTGGAAGCAGAAGTATATCCCCTTGAAGAAATGAACCTTAAATCTCAGCTTCACTGTATTCCCATGAAGTTTTAGTGGATGTGAGCAGCAGAGATTACCAAAGGTTCAAGGGTAGCTTCTTTACTATCTAACTGTCTAACTTAACTCTCTTATTAAGCTATTATAAACACAGTCTGATGATTCTTTATTTCTCTCCCTTCTTATTCTTCCTCCTCCATTCTTTGTATGTTAGGTGTTTTATTCTGTACTCTTTTGTGTTTCTTTGACTGCTTTTATGAATAGTTGATTTTATTTTTTGCCTTTAGTTAGTATTTGGTTGGTCTGCTTTCTTTGCTGTGATTTTATTTTCTCTGGTGACATCTATTTAGTCTTAGGAGTGCTCCCATCTAGAGCAGTCCCTTTAAAATATCCTGTAGACGTGGTTTGTGGGAGGCAAATTCCCTCAACTTTTGCTTGTCTGGGAATTGTTTAATCCCTCCTTCAAATTTAAATGATAATCATGAGCCCCAGAAATTCAAGGCCCTTCTGTTTCATTACATTAAATGTATCATGCCATTGTCTTCTGGCCTGTAAGGTTTCTGTTGAGAAGTCTGATGATAGCCTGATGGGTTTTCTTTTGTAGGTGATCTTTTTTCTCTCTCTGGCTTCCTTTAGTACTCTGTCCTTGTCTTTGATCTTTTCCATTTTAATTATTATATATCTTGGTGTTGTCCTCCTTGGGTCCCTTGTGTCGGGAGATCTGTGGGCTTCCATGGTCTGAGAGACTATTTCCTCCCCCAGCTTGGGGAAGTTTTCAGCAGTTATTTCTTCAAAGACACTTTCTATCCCTTTTTCTCTCTGTTCTTCTGGTATTCCTATAATGCAAATATTGACCATTTGGATTGGTCACACAATTCTCTTAATATTCTTTCATTCCTGGAGATCCTTTTATCTCTCTCTGCCTCAGCTTCTCTGAATTCCTGTTCTCTGATTTCTATTCCATTAACAGACTCTTGAACCTCATCCAGTCTGCTCTTAAGTCCTTCCAGAGATTGTTTCAGTTCTGTTATTTCCCTTCGGACTTCATCCCTAAGCTCTTGCATATTTCTCTGCAGGTCCATCAGCGTGGTTATGACCTTTATTTTGAATTCTTTTTCAGGAAGATTGGTTATATCTGTCTCCCCAGGCCCTCTCTCTGGGGTTGTCTGAGTGATTCTTGACTGGACCAGATTCTTCTGCCTTTTCATGGCGATAGAGGTGGTCGCAGGCAGGTGGTGCATGTGTCAGCTGGGAGAACAAAGTCTAAAGGAAAACATAACCAATATATATAAGTGTATATTTCTAAACTGTAAGATTGAGTCATTTTTATGAAATTCTCCAAATTTTCTCCAGTGGATGAATACACATTGTGACCTTAAACAAAACTGTGAAAAGCAGAAGAGGAATAAAAAATGCTTTGTTCTGGAATCTGAACCAAAGTCATAGGGTGGCCATTATAGAGAACTTCATGATGGTAGTCTGGCTGTTAGCCGTCTTCCTCACAACACAGAGAACCATCGCTGAAGGAATTTAGACTCTATATTCTGAGTGGTGCTTTAGAAATCTTGGGGTAGCAGGAGGTTGAACAACATTATTACTAATTAGCACCGAGAATCTGAGTCACAGGACACTTCTAAAAACTATTGCCTAAAAAATTTCATTTAGACCAGCCAATGGTTTTGAATTGCATGCCAATTATTGTACCTTGTCTCTTATTTGTCTGGCTGTGCTGTGGATAAATGAAGATTGTATGGGGCTAAGGCTCAGTTACATTCCCTGTAACTGATTATTTTATGTCGGGCTGGTGGCAAGAATAATTTTTTGGTTCCCTGGAGACCTAGCTGGACCATGTTACTTTGTCTCATATTAGAACACTTTAAAAAGATTTACTTAGGTTATTTCAGATATTATGAAAGCTCAGTACTGTCTCCTAGCTGGTTCAGAACCCCTTCTTCAGAAGTGCTTAGGTTCTGAAGTCTGGGACATCTGTCTCTCTCTCTCTCTCTCTCTTCTAATTGAGTTTTGTTCTGCTTAATTTTCTCATTGTTATGTTGTTGGGATATTTATGATAAGAATTTTCAGTTTCAAAAGTAGGATTTTTTTTCTCTTATTTTGCTCAGTAACCTTTGCCTTGATGAATAGTAAGGTCATTTATTGTTTATGGCTAGGAGACTTATGTGAAGGAGAGTCACCTTCATTAAAATCTCATGGTCCTCTTCTGATGTTGAATTTCACATATGATGTCAGTTTGGCCATGGAAGAATTTTCTTTGAGATATTCTTTTCATATTCCTGATAAGTCGGTTGTTTCTTTTCACATTTGTTTATGTGTATGTTTTTGTTTCACTGTGCTATTTTAGGGAAAAATCTGTCATCATATAAACAGATGGGAATTCTTCACTTCATTCGTCAACTTGAGGGGAGAAGAAAAAGACAGGTTAGGGGTGTGACTCCTGTAATCTGTAGAGGCCTCAAGCTAAATCTCTATAAAGCATAAGATCAATCAGATTTTTCATTTTTTCCTATAGCACCTAAGAATTTTATCTATTTTTCTAGATATTTGGAATGTTGTGATAATACAGTAGAAAATTTCTATCCCTCAGGAAGGTTGGAGGTAGTTTTTTGAAGTTGAGTTTCTTAATGTATTGAATAATATTCTTGAATAAAATTATTCAAGAATAACTAGTACTTCTTGTGCCCTTGTTTGATGGGTAGTTCCTATATATATAAGTTGCAACCAGATAATTGAAATACATTCCTTGCCCAACATTCCCATGGTTTGGGCAAAGGTACTGAGGGCATCATGAAAAATGAGAACTATTGCAAATTATAGAAATTGGGTACCATGATGAAAACATTTGCAATTGTATTTAATTCTGAACAGTTATTAGAATTACTCTAATCCTTAAGATTAATCAATTCATACTCATTAAAAATATTAATTGTAATACAGTTGGAGAGAGATTTCTGCTAAAGATATTTTACTTAGTTTAGTCAGGTAACAGTCGCTGCCCTAGTAAAGTTTATTATCTAGTGGGGGAGATGATCAATAATCAAATAATCATAGAGACAAGTATAAAATGAAAAAAACAACTGTATCAAGTTTCAAAGGGAAAATATGATGTGCAATGAAAATATGTATCAGAGGGATCTTATGTATTTTGGTAAAGGATGGAATTCTAGGTAAACTTTAATCCCTCTGTTGTCTTATAGCAAAGCTCCATGAAATTTATTTCTACTTACGTCTCCCCTTTTGCCTTCTCATTTGTTCTCGAGTCCATTCCCATAGGACTTACTTTCTTACTATTCCACGGACATTATTCTGGCTAAAGTTGCACATGACTTGCGCACATCCGGATCCAGTATGGTCACTTCTCAGCCCTAACAGCAGTGTTTGGCACAAATGAGCCCTCCGTTCTTCCTTTCTTCTGGGGTCTCACTTGTCTTGGCCCCCAGGAAACTGCTCTCCCTTGGTGCTCCTTTTACCTCACTCATCTTCACAGTCTTGACAGGTTCCTCCTCGTTTTCTCTACCACACTGCAGTCCAGGTGTCCCAGGACCCAGTCCTTGTTCTCTTCTCTGCTTTGTCTATCCTCCTTAGCTTTAAATACCATCTGTACACAGAGAAGGCCCACATGTCTGGTCCCAGCTTACTCTTTGAACCCCAGCACTGTGTCACCAATTGCCTGCCCCTCCACTTGGGTATCTAATAAGCATCTCAAATTTAACATGACCAGAGTTGAACTCTTGATTTCTTACTGCTGCCTCCAAATTCTCCCTCCACCAACCTTCCCCAACCCAATAGATGGCAACTCCATTTTACTAATTAATTGCTCAGGCTGTTAATCTTGGTCATCCCTGACTTTTCATATATCACATTGAATATAGTTAATTTTAAGCTTTTCAGCAAAATCTATAGTTGAACTACTGAACAATCTCTCATCATGGCATCCTGATTACAAATCTTTCTTTAGTCTGTTTTACTCATAAGAGGCAGAGCGATTATTCTGAAATGAATGATTCAGATCACGTTACTCCTGCGCTAATAATTCTCCAATGTTTTCCCAACTCATTCGTAGTAAAAATCCTCACAGTGGCCTGTAAGGTGCTGTATGAGTCGGATCGCAGCTATCTCCTTGCCTTCTTTTCCTACTGTTTTTCTTTTCCTTTCGCAGTCCTCACTACACGAGCCATGCCAGTTCTTGCTGTTCCTAAGTCAACCCAAATTTTTTGCTGTTCCTAAGCCCCACTGTTATCTCCAAAGGCTACAACCATGCCTCATAAAAAGCTGGCACTCAGTAATTGTCTGAATAAAGGAAATGACATTTCAGCTGGGGCAGATTAGGGAGTAGAGAGTAAGGAGGTAGCTCTGTATCCAATGAATGGGTAAGAAACATGTCTGTTTGCTCATGGGCATCTCCCCAGCTGAGAACTAACATGTAAGTGGGAGTTCACTCAGGAGACTGTTATGATTTAATACAAAATCATTCAAATTTATATGGATGATTTAGTAGTATGGAATACTGGTCACAATAAATTAAGTTCGGGGAAAATTGCAGTGTAAAGCAGCATACAATTTTTAAAAAATGTATATATAGCATAGGGAAAGGCCTGGTAGGATTTACATTAAAATATGGATATTGGTTGCTTATAGGAAGGGGGCCACAGGAGACTTTTTATCTTCATCTTTGAACTCTGTGTTTTGAAACTTATACAATGTGCATGAAGCACTTTTATAATCAGAAGAATAAAGAGATATAAATTATTTAGTTAGATGTATTGACCCCTGAATATTCTTTTATTCTAGATTGTGTGAGAGGAGAAATTAAAGTTAATGATAAAGGTAGGACCCATAAAAGAGGTAAGGAATCCAGTTGGCTTGGCTTCAGTTATAAAATATTACAAAAATAGAGTGGGGAATATCTGTGCTGGTTAACACTGTTTAGTAAGAAGTGTACTCTGAATTCTGTCCAAACTTTTAGCCGTTTGTGGCCTGCTTCTGGTCACTTTATAGTGAAATATGGACTTGTGTTAATTTTCTCAGTGTCAAACTTCGGGGGTGGTGGAGACTTGTGGCAGATTAAAGAGTAGAGAGTAAAAAATTAGCACCTTATTTGGTAAATGGGTGAGAAATGCATCTTTTTTGTTTATGTAAATCCTTGCACCTATTTTAAGTCTATTCATTGCCATTCTTAACAAAGGTTTTAGGTCTCTTGTATTATGTATATATTTTCTCTTTATTCTTTGCTGGACGTGGTGAGTTAAGGTTATTGATAAACTAAATAAAATTTTGGATGGTATTAATTTTAGGCTGGGTAATACCTAAAGCATTTAGAGTAGACCTAAAATGTCACTGAATTCTTTAGTTCTCTTTTCTAATGTAGTAGCCCCACGGCCCTTGTGAACCTGATATCAGTGTTTCAACTGAGTGACCCAAGTTTCCCTTCCTAATAAATTTTTATAATTTGAACTGTACGTGCTGTGAGGCTAAACTTCAGGAGTGCATGAATTTACGCGGGAATTTAGTCTATCCAAGTACCCAGATCTACTTAGCCTGCTTGCTTTGTTTTCTACTCACCTTTCCTGATACTGTGGTTATCTTTTACTGCATTGTGGAGGAAATGAAGTAATGGTTTGGCATTTGTAAATTTAGGGAAATCCTAGAAGTCTTAGGAAATATTTGTTGAATGCCAAGCATTAGATCACTCACCTCCAGACTGGAGAAGAAACGATCTACTTCTCATGCTTGTGAATATTATAAGATTGTGTAAAATATGAGCATCAAACTTACACAAAAATGTACATGTGGGTGATTTAGTGGTTCACCATTTGTGAGTTAAAGTGAAAGAACTTCTGCCTGTCTTAATTTAGGAGGGGTCAGTTTTTCAAGAACAAAAGTCACTTAAACCCTGTGTCAATGTATGGAAGGAACTACGGATGCAAAGAAACAGGGATAGAAATTAATAAAAGTATACTGCAGTTTAGGTTTTAATGACCTAGTTGTAGTCCAGTACTAGACTTGATTCCAGTGAGCTCTGCTGAGGTCACGTCTCCCAATTATCCTCATTTATCCCAATATGCTGAGCTGCACTTGGACTTTGTATTCCATGTCAGGAAATAAAGTGAGAGCAGTCATTAAAGACTTTATAACAGAAGAATCTTGGAACTGTGAATGGGATCACTTCAATATTTATGATGGACCAGATCAGCAATCAAGATTACTTGGTAAACCAGTTTTTCTTAAAGGGCCTACATTAAGTGGCATTTATATAATGCATATGTGTGGAAAATATGACCTGACTTTGCCCTGGGAACAAAATCATTTGTTGCCAGTGACTTTCTATTAGATCCTTCGTCAGAATTCTGTAACATTATTTTGCCCAATGGGATGAGCGTGAGGCCACAATTCAGTGGATTTTGACCTTTGATCCCAGCTCTTCTTGATGGTGGCCCAGCGATTCCTATCTCATTTTACCATTAGGGGGCGCTCTAATTTTGTTTTTCTCAAGAGGTCCTCATGCATTGTAAGAGGTTTTGCTTCCTAACCTGCATTTTTAGGTAAGTTTTTAATAATTTGTTTCCTCAAGTTTCATCCTCACAGTGAAGATGTTACTTTTTATATCCAGGATAAATTAAAAAGAAGAAAAGGCTTATTAGCTTGAATAATCTTTAGAGATTTATTGATCACAGTGTGTCTATCATGCTTGGATGTCAGGCAGTATTTTGTCCTACCTAGACTGTTTCAGAGATGGAAACTTTTATAGCTCAGTATTGCATCACCGTCTGCGTCTCCAACCCGTTCTTCCACTCAGGACACCTTTATACTCTACCTGTCACAAAGGGCAAGAGGAGTGTTTTAATGATATCTTTTCTGGGACTTTGACTTGCTTGTGATATTACAGAATTTATAACACCGATAAGTTCAGCAATTTGCTTTGAAATTCTAGAGTTTTCCTTATCAGTGAGTTTGGTTTTTTTCAAGGATCCCCAAGTGATTTGGAGTATGGAGGAGGAGAAGATACGAAATTTCAAGCTATTAGTTCTCCTTAAGATGAATATGAGGCATCTATAGACTCAGACTCTAAACCCCCAACTCTCATCGGTGCCCTTCAGCCAAAGACCCCTGCCTGGTTCACAGCTGGGGTGAAGCAAGCCGGATTCATTAGTCATTTTAGAGAAGGAGAACGCACACCATGGAAAACCAGGGGGTGGCTCAGAAAGAGGCTGTTAGGAAGAACCTATTGTAGGATTTGGGGTTTAGTTGGGTAATTTGGGAGAAGGTCTAAAGAGGTAGACTTTGCTCTAGATTATTTTCTGTCAGGAAGCTTTTTGACAAAAGAATAACTTGAAGTCTCTTTTGCCTGCTGTGTCAGGAGGCACTTTAGGGTGATGGGGTGAATTATGTCTACAGCGAGGCTGTTGTGGTAAACTAGATCTGCACTGTCCAATCCAGGTTGTTATTTAAATTTAAATAGGTTAAAAAGAATGAAAGGCGGTATTTGCCATATTTCCAGAGCTCAGTTGCTCTATGTAGTGAGTGACTCCCACACTGGACAGCACCTATAGAGAAGTTTCCATCATTGCAGAATGTTCTGGTAGTTCTTTTTTAAGACCGTAGACGATGTTGCCTGAAGAAGAGGATGGTAGCAATGGAAATCAAGTGAAGTGAACAGATCTGGGGATAAAACTGATAGGATTTCTTGATGGATTGAATGTGAAATTAAATATGCAACTCAAGGATAACTTTTAGGTTTATCGTGTGAGAGGTTGGAGGGGGTGGCGTTTTTAGAGATGCGAAATAGTAGGGGGAGAAAGAGATTTGTGCTCAGAGATCTTTTGGGCATGTTGAATTTTAATGCTATGATACATCCAGGCTGAGTTGGCAATAGGCTGTTAGAAGTACAACTCAAGCTAGCGGGAGAGTTCGGGCTGGAGATACACATTTGAGAGTTGTTAGCCTCTCACAAATTTCCTTTGGCTAGCCTTTCTCTGACGTCATCAGTCTCCTCTATCATTCTCATCAGTTTCAAACACGTTCTATTATTACCCATCATTTAAAACAAATTTCTCTGCTTCACTTTTTAGCAAACTCCCTCACTTTTTTGAGCTGATAGGTTAGAAAGTTTATGGGATTAATGGCTAGAAGGTGATGGTGAGGTGAAAGAGTGGTAGCAGAGAAATACCGGTAGAGTTGGAGAGATAGAACAGGGTGGTTTAGATAGTCGGATGTTTGGAATAATTTCAGAGATGTCAAATGATTACAAAGTTTCAGAGCAGTTTTAGTGAAGGATTACAAGAAGGGAACCCTTTCCCTTGTATGGCTAAGTTAGTATTGACACTAGCTGGCAGGCACTGGCTCAGTCTCACAGATCTTCACAGTCAATGACAAATCTGGCCGTTGCCCCTGCCATACTGACTATTACATATCAGCCTTGATCGACCAACACTTTTAAGGAATGGTGACAAACTGGAACACAGCCATAGAGCATAATGACCAGGATATTGAAGGCTCTGGGTACCGGGCATGTTGACCTTTGGGAGAAGAGAGAATACAGAAGGATCATAATTCTTTTCAAATATTTGTGGAATTCTTATAGAGGCTATAAGGCCATGTATGAGATTTATTCAGCCTAATGATCTCTAACAGTTGTTATTTACTATTACTCAGGCACAGTCCTAAGAACTTATAATTCCTTAATCTTTGTAACAGTCCTACAGAGGCAGGTTACATTTATCTTTTTTTAAAATGTCAGGGAATCAAGATTGAGTATCTTGCCCCTAGTGACATAACTAATAAGTAGGGAAAGTGGGATTCATATCAACACACTCTGATTCAGACGCCTGTGTGCTTAGCCATGATGCTGACCATGTGGCAGTCATTACATTGATGGCTTTTGATTCCCATGAAGTGCAGTCTAGCAATTAGAACTGTTCAAAAAGAGAAAATGTCCCTAAGTGACATGTCGTATCTCCAAGACCAGGCATTATATGTCCAGGGTTGTTTTAGGGGGAACTCTCAGTTAGATGAAAGACTGAACTAAATGATCTCCAAGATTCTATACTTAAACGAGTCTTTTACCTCTCATCCAGCCACCCATCCTAAAACTATACATTTTGTAACTGCATTTTTTTTTTGTATTTTTGTCTAAGTCATTACTAGAAATACTATACTTGGCAGAATCAAGGATAGAACCATTTCCATATCATTAAGATCTTCCCTCTAGGTTAACATTATGTGGTTATTTAATCAGCTGCAAAACTTCCTAGCTATATAATCATCCACTTACATTTTATATCTGTTCACAGGGATATCATAAGATATTTTAATTAGTACTTCACTGCAATCAAGATTAATAAAGTTTATCTCATTCTCCCTAGCCACCATCTAATTAGCTCTTTCAAAAAATTAAATTAGGTTAATTTAATGCGGCATGTTAAGCATCCCATGCTGGCTTCGCGTGACCACTGATTCCTCCTTCAAGTGTTCAAAAACCATCTGTCCAATAATTAACTGTAAAATTCTGCTGAGGATTATTTATATTTAACAAAACTTATCATACTTTATAAATACCCATTCATATGATTCCATGTGAGTATTATTTTATCTCCATTATACAGTCGAGAAGATTGAGGTACAAGGAGAGATTAAATAACTTGCTTAGGGCCACATAGTGAAATAGCAAATCTAGTCCAAACTGGAATCTGTGCCTGTGAGCCCTGAGCTGCATTACTTCACGGATCCCTCTTCGCTTTCTCTGTCACCTGTCCACCCCCTGATCTCCTTTTTGAAAAACAGAGTAACATTTCTGGAATGTCTACCCCAAATCTCTTTACTTGACATGACATAGTGCATCCCAAAAGTTTCCCATCAACTCCAGTTCACCAGATTCTTTTGGGGATAAGAATGATGTAGACATTCACAATTCCCCTGCTCTCTTTCTTTCTCATATATCTGAATAACAGTGTCCTTAAGACAAATCAATAGTGTACCATTGCTTTATTTTGAAGGAATTTAAATTACAGCATATACAGATAAATTAACAGTAAATGTCCTGTCACTGTCAGGACCACCTTTGGGCCAACTTCGGTGTTTCTGAATTAAGAAAAGTATTATCATTAGTCCTTATTTGGGCAGCCTGTCTTTCTTAGTTTAGGCTGCTGTAACAAGAATACTATATACACTGGGTGGCTTAAACACCAAACATTTATTTGTTAGTTCTGGAGGCTGGAAAGTCCAAGATTTGGTGTTTGGTGAAGGCTCACTTCCTGGTACATAGCCGTCTTCTTGGGATGTCCTTACAGGGCAAAAAAAGGGGTGAGGGAGCTTTCTGGATTTCTTTAATGATAGTAGTTGTTCCATTCAGGAGGGCTCCACCCACATGACCTCATCACATCCCAAAGGCCTCACCTCATAATGCCCTCACACTGGGGATTAGGATTTTAACATATGAATTTGCAGGGGGACACAAACATTTGGTCCATAACAGCCCCATTACTTTTGTTTCTCTGTCCACTTATCTTTACCAAAATGCTTTTTTTTCCCATCCTTATGATCACTGATTACCATACAGTTGTATATCCTTTTCATATCAATTGCTAGCCTAGTCTTTTCTTTGATCTTTTAAAATCTGTACCTGTCCATTGCTGCAATAATCACGCCCTCCCTTTCTTAAGTCTCCATCTTGTGATATTGATAATTATTCCTTTGTCAATATTAACAGTTCAGAATTTAATGTCCCCCCTTTGCCCTCTTTTACCTGTCTTATTGTGTAGGAGAAGTATTTTAATTATCGAGTATATCTCACATTGCAGCTCATTTATGCGGCTCCAAGAAAGAATTTGTCCCGATGTCTAATGGTGCTTACCTGACTGTGAATTTTAAGACTGATGAGTCTGTGGGAGAAAGAGGTTTTAAACTTCTTTTAGAAGACATTGTCCAGAAACGATCACAAAAAAGCAATATTGGGACCAAATTGCCTATCAATGGTAAGTCATTATTTAAAAATATTAAGGAAGGACCACATATGACTTAAAGTAGAACCAGAGGACTGCTGGCTTAAGGCAGCTGGGAGTCACCCCATTCCAGTACTAAAGACAAGATCATTTCACTTCAAACCATTGTTTAAGGCATGAGGCTTGGGTTTAGATAGATCATGTAAGGTAGCAAAGTGAACTGGGGTATGTGTGTGTGTATGTGTGTCTGTCTATATGTGTGTCTGTATGCTGTATATTATTTCTATTTAAGAAATAATGATAACCATGAAAGTCAGTCAGTTGCTATTTAAAAGATCTAGAAGAGACATTCAGGCTGAAGCAAAGGTAGAGCTTCACGGGTTCCCATGTCTGTGATACCACATCACTTTTATTCAGTAAACCCTCCAACCTGCATAAAGACCCCCAAAAAGAATATTTTTGCTGAACATATACTAACTTCTCTGCATACAAATGCAATATTTCTGTTCCTTTTCAAAAACTAATTTATGTTCTGATTTGTCTAAAGATGTGTATATGAATGCTTCTGTTAAGTTTGTTGACTTTTGCTCATTTTAAATGCAATGGAAGGAAAGACGGTTCTCTCCTCTTGCTAAGAAGCCTCGTGTTGAACCTACCAAAGCATAATGAACACCTCCATTCGGAGATGCTGATAGACCCTCATAAGCATTTCTAGCAAATATTTCTTGTCATTTTTCTAAGGGGTAACAACAGAAAACAAGACAGGAAGACCGCCAGCCCAAGACAAGTGCGGGATTCCCGTCATCGACCCATTTCTAATGGAAGGGTCAGAGAGAAACACAAACGGGCTGCCAGCTGCGGTTGGGGAGCCCAGGGTGGTTGGTGGCCGAACCGCCCCTGCACTGTCATGGCCCTGGCTGGCCAGTCTGCAGCGCCAAGGGCAGCATTACTGTGGAGGCGCCCTGATTGCCCCTCAGTGGGTGCTGACGGCCGCGCACTGTGACTTCAGGTGGGTAGGAGCTGCCTGGGGCCTGCAACGGGTGCCCCCTGCTCTCACCATATCTCAACAAACATTGCTCATTAAGCTCCTCTGAAACAGTCCCCAGCCTGCCAATGGATGTGCATATTATGTTGAAGCCTTTTCTGTGCTTCACTAATGCACTTCTCGTAGCATTTAATTTTAAAGCTGCTTCCTGCTTTAGGCGTAATTTAGTTAATAGGTCGCTAAGAGCACTCCCCCTTTCCCCATCTGTGAAACGGAGGTCCTGATGTCTGAGCATCTTCACACTGCAGTGAAAGCAAAGGGTTGCCCAGAGGTGGATTCCTTTCACCCTTGCTCTCCTGTCCTGTCTGATCACCATACCTAGTCCCAAAATCAATATCTAAAGTTTCAAAGAACTTCAAAGAATGTCCTTTAAAGGAAACATTTTTTTTCTTTGATTTTATCTCAATAATGGCCTCAGTGTGATACAGAGATATATAACAACTCTTTGCTCAGAGAAGACAGGTTACTGTTTTTGACATGGGTGTTCCAGAAGCAGGGACATAGTTGTCATTGCATGATGTGTCACTGCTGAATGAAGAGATAAAATGTTTTTAGTGTCTCTAAAATAGGGGTTTTACAATAAAAGTATCTGTTCAGATAACCTAGTGAGCAGGAACCTTCAATGAATCAAAAACTCATTTGCTTTACTATCTTCCATCTCTTACTTTTGATACAAATAAATCACAAGAAGGCATCTTATTAAGGCAGTTTGCATTCCTCTGTGTGCTCAAAATTACCTGGGGAGTTTGCTCTAAATGGAACCTTGGAATCTTAATCCTGAATTTTGATTTGATGAGTTTTGTCTGGGATTCTGCATTTTTAGTGCACATGCCAGATTTAATGCATATAGTCCCTAGACATTTCTTTGAGAAACATTGTATTAAGGAGTAGGGCATCAATAACTTTCAGTATAGCTTTCAGTGACCATTATATAAGAACATCATATAATGAATAATATTATCATAACACTATGCAGAATCATTACCTCGAGACATCGTGAATTGTAATTGTCAAGAAATAAATACTCCATGTCAAGAAAATCATATTCCGTTTGATGTTATGAAGGCAAGAAAGTAGTTATTTTAATATGTCTCAAGGATTGAATTAATGAGAAACCCCATTGTTTAGGAATTCAAGATAATAAGGATTTTAATGTAGATTAGAAATGTTAAATAATGCATTTTTTCAGTAGTTTTGAGAAGTTATGGCCTCATTAAAAGTGGAATCTATTTCCTGACTCCCTTTTCTTATGACAAGCACTGTGACAGATAGCCTGGTGATAGGAAGAAGTTACCTCTCGAATATAGGACGGAGTGACTGGATACCAGTGAGAGCTGTACACACGCACCCTGGCTTCACACAATTTCCTCCTAATGATGACCTATCCTTGTTGCATCTGGAAAGACCTGTCAAACTAGGTCAGTATGTATAATTACTTTTCCATATTTTGAATCTTTGCCATATTTCTTCTATCTTCCATATCCTGCTTAGAAGTGCTGTGTGTACTTTCGAAGGTAAATAATTATTTCAACATGTACTTACCCTCCACCCTTCATCCTTTCTTTCTGTTCTGCACGGACTTTGCTTTCCACTTACCACCACCCAGTGTCAACCTCAGCATGATACTCTCTGCTCCTCTTCCCCCAGGGATGTAGTAGCTTGTCTGTATCTGTTCCCATTCATTGATTTTCTGTGCTAAGAGTAAGAGATGTCGTTTCTCGCGTGAGAGACAATGAATTTTTGGCCCCAGCAACTCACCGTAACCATCATGTGACCATTGGGCCTATTTCTTTCTTTTTTGTTTTACTCTGCATGTTTGGCTTTAAATAATTGTGATGTACCTATTATAAGTTTTATTTTATCCTGCTTTTTCACTGACCATTATCAACATTGCTTCATATTATTAAAGATCCTCTTAAAATATAATTTTAATGGCTAACACCATAGCCTTTCCACAATTCTTATAAAAATAGGTGGTTTCCTTTATTTAAATAATGCTAAATTGACTATCCTTGTGTATACATTTTTCCAGGCATAGGACTGCCTTAAGATAAGTTTCCCAGAAGTAGAATTGCTTGATGGAGGGTATAACTATGTCAAGATTCCTGACATACTTCTAAATTACAAACATAGAGTGCAAGTCAACCATCTCTTCTATTTTTTTCCAAAATGAGACAATTTGGCAATGTCTGTCCATTTTTGAAGTGTGTGCCTTGTGGTACAGCAATGCTCTTTTCCAGAAAGACTGGCACTAATGCACAGATTTGAGATCTGGGATTCCTCCACTTACAAGGGAAAAAAATTTAAATAGTGTAAATGTTCACCAGTAGAATTTAACAGATTGTGGTACATTCATCATCTGAATACTGTGTGCTGTTTTTAAAAATTATGTGCTAGATCTATATGCAATGTTTTAAATGGTATGACTATAGTAAACAAAGAAAATAGGACTAAGAAAAGCAGCTCATTATAAAAATCTGTTGGTCAAGGGAAAATGTTTTATCTCAAGGAAATTTGGCAGAAAACAGTGAGGCAGCATAACATAAGATTCCAGAGCAGTTGGTATGTGGAGAGAGATGAATAGGAGAATAGACATGCTACAAAGATTTTTATGTGATTTTATTAAGAGAGAGCAGTAAAAATAAGAATAAATCATTGGAATAAATGGTCTTAGGTAGCAGATATGCTGAAGCAATTTAAGTGTGTAAAAATATAGATAAAAATCAAGTGAAATAGGATGGGGAAACAGGAGCAATGTATTCAGTGTGTGTGTGTGTGTGTGTGTGTGTGTGTGTGTGTGTGTGTACACTCACAGAAACCCACAATATTTATATATATATACAAATTTTGGTGATAAGAAAAAATGTGAATGTTTAAATATATAACATACCAATGTATTTTATAATATACCCATGAAGATAGAATTAGATATAAAAATACCTGTTAGCTGTAAAAATACTTATAGAGTTTACATTGCAACAAGTGTGGCTTTTCTCCATTCCTCAACTAATATCGTTGAAAAAAGATCATTATATTCTTTTCCACTGTCATCTCAAATTCAGCATGGAGATGTCTTAGAGGCACATGAACCAAAGGGTAGCTGCATTTTTAAAAATGTCTAAGGAATGAGAAACCAAGAGCCACACATCTCAGTGCAGCGCCTGGGTTTTTATTGTCGTAGGAGGATATGGTAATACCTGTAGCAAAATGGGATGATCCCTTCTGAATAATTAATAGGTGGAGTCTTCTGGAAGACTTATTTATTAAATTACAGGGTTAGAAAAGGTACTGTCAGGTAAAAGTAGGAATTTCTAGAGCTATCTTTATAGAAATAATATAGACCAATGTTAATATCAATTCTATGGACTAAATTCCATTTGCCTTTCTTCTTTCTCGTCCTGTTAATTAGGAGAGTTTATATCTCCAATCTGTTTGCCAAGGAACAATGAGAAAATAAATTTACTTTCCAAATGTATGACTGCTGGATGGGGAATAACTGAACCACATCGTGAGTATATTCTCTCCCTCTTCCAAGATGAGAAACTGAATAAGTACATGTGAAGTCTGAGTATACTGTTTACTGTTTTCTATATTTCTGTATTTTTAAATAGGCAGGATAGTGGAAAAAGTCTTTTTCATAATGTATCTAAAGGTGACTGGCTGGGTTTTAGGATATACTGATGGATGCTAGTTCATTGAGAATTGTAAAACTTGCACTGGAGAATATCTAGTGACTTTATCACCGGGTATTCGGGTGCCTCATTTATATGTAACGATTGCCCAGTTGCTCTGTGAACACACACACTCTCCCGTGCAGTTCTTTTCGGAACAGTATAGATGCTGCTCCCATGGAAACCCCTACTTAAAGATAGGAGCCAATTCCCAAAGATGTGAGGCATTTCCCTGAAATGATAGGCTGGTACTCTTGGCATATGGGTGGAAAGATGATGTGAAAATACCTAGTCCGTAGGAAGATCAGACCATGACTCTGGTCTCACTTGCACCACATTCTACAGCTGAGTTAACAAGTTACAAATAACCAATAAACGCAAGAATAAGTCAGAGAGCAATTACGCCTGTCTGCCTGCCTCCAGGCGCCGTCAGCACTTACATGCAATGTCTGTTCAGCAAAAGTCTAGTCAAGGAATGGGGGCACTGGGAAACGAGGGGAATGAAGTACATAGACTTAACACATTAAAAGCGAATTGTATCATTTATCAATAACTGACTTGGGTGTAAACTTCGCCTTTTTTCTTCTTTAAAGTGATACTAATTTTCTATCGTCTTAGGACTGTGCTAAAAGACCAAAGAGCCTACATAAAATGTTTTATTGTCTCTAAAGTATAAGCCAGCATGGGTAATAATGTTAGCTTTTCAAATCACCTAACAGCAACATTACAGGCCAAGAGAGGAGAATGGGTGTGATTTTTAACCCTTGAAGTCTGTCTGTATATAGGGCCATTTTTGTTTTATCCTTGAAAAGCATTTGCCTAGGTTATATGTGTTTCTTGTTCCTTTTCTACTAGAAAGTGAATTTCCTAAAACTGTGCAGCAGGCAAAGGTTCCACTGATCAGTACCACATCTTGTCGAAGGTACTGGGGACTGGATATTAAAAACACCAATATATGTGGAGGGGCTGCAGGATCATCCTCATGCATGGTAATTCAGGGGCTGTGTTGACGAGGCATGAGTTTCCTCTGAGTGTGTCTCCTGCATGGGTGTTTCTTGACCAGAAGGAATTATAAATATATGATGGTTGGAAAATGAAAAGTGAGAAATTGCATTTTCAATGCATGCAAAATAGAAAGTTGCAAAATGGACGTTCTGTGATTGCTAATCTGATACTTGAAGTGCACCCAATTTTCAAAACAAATTACTTGTTCATTTGCCTGGTTGCACTATGTGAAATTGATAATATTCAACTATTTTTGACCTATAGAATGATAATTTCTTATGGTTTGACTTTGTAGCTGAATTAGGTAGCTCAAAATACAAACTTTGAGAATACTGAAAATACAAAGATGTTTTCCTATAACTCAAAACCATCATTTAGTCATTTATATTTTGATGCTTGAAACCTTCAGAGAGGAGAGAGTGACTTCCGCTCCATTTGGTCACCCTCTGCAGTTGGGGTTGGTGTCAACCGTGAAATCATGCAGCCGGGAGAACTTCTCTTTCTGCTGGTTGCAGGGAGATTCCGGAGGACCACTGCAGTGTGTCTGTGACGGGCAGTACAAGCTGATAGGTGTCGTGAGCTGGGGCAGCAGTAACTGCCATCCCACTGCGCCAACAGTCTTCACCAGAATTTCCGCCTACAGGGACTGGATCACATCTGTCACCAGAGGAGAAGTGTGATCCCTGAAATGAGCAGCATGATGGGATTGTGTTTATCAATGGGAAAGAAATACATGACTTATAACTGACGGATAAGTCTCTTGTCAGTGTTCAAAAACTCAGCGTCACTTCCCTCAACCTTTGACACTGAGAAGCTGGGACCTGGTGTGTACATACATTCATTATTGAACGCCAGTCACAGGAAGTAAATGTGGGTTCCTGCCTCCTGGGAATTTCCGGTCTGAAATGTCATCAAAGTCATGTCTAGTGCACCCATATATGTCATTATTTGAATACCATCATATACACTTTATATTTTTCTAGTTCAGTAAATATTAGAAGATACGAAGGGAAACGTTATTCAGGCCCTAAAATTCTTAATTTTACTCACACAGAACAGTGCCCTGAGCACAGTTACAGATAGGAAGTTTCCCTGTAAGTTTCACAATGTCAGTGAGCAATGGATGTTTAAGTTATTTATTAGGCTCATCACTGGACTTAATAATTTTTAGATAGACTTGTAGGACATGTCAGTGGTTTACAAAACATTTGATTTATCTGCACCTCGGTAGACCAACATCCTCTTGGATCTAAGCCATGGCCAAGAATTAAGGAATAAGGAACTGAACCAGACTCCTGAGTCAGAAGACTGAATGCTGACGTCTGTCACAGAAATATATAGAATGAGTGAGAGCCTGAGGCAACTTTTTTTTTCTTATTTTATACAAAATATCATTTGGTTTCCAAGACTATAGGTAGAGTGTAGTTCAACTTTAGGTACGCACACATATAACCTAATGAAACAGCAACTCATGAGGTAAGAGGCAAAAAATTACATTTTTATGACCTCCTTTCCTGTCTCCCCTCATTCCCACCCCAGTCTTTTTCTCTCAGTCTCTCATCTCTTTTGCAAATACTTAAAATGGAAAGAGTTATAAATATCCTAGTATTTAGTAAAAACTCCTTGCATGAATATTAGTCTGAACTGCTTTCATTGATTTAAAGTATGAGGAACTCTGAGAAAAAAATGAAAGGTGAGATTTGCAGTAGACATTCTCTAATTATGTGTGTTTTGTACCATTTTTACTTTTTCTCTCATTGATTTTTCCCATCTTTTTTTATCAGATGACATTAAAGGGGAAAGATGAGCTGTATCAAAGTGCCAGGCCGGTCTAAAGCATTTTTTCTGCATGGTATGATTTTGTGGTTAATTTTGCTGCTGGCACAATCTCTGGGGTGACCTCCTGGGGCAGTGATCTGGTAGTGATGCTTTAGGGCTCTGTCAGCAGAGGATGCAGGGCTGGGATTCCATGACTACCTAGAGAAGCTGCCTGATTTCCCTACGATAGTCAGAGACTATTTGGTGCTCTGTTTCAGGCTTCAGTTGGCAAGAATTTTTAAACTCTTCTATGATCAATCTTTTTCTGTTCAATAGGACTGTTAGACTTTTTCCTTGCCCTTCCTCCAGTTGAAAGCCAATTTAATTGAGGAGGAATACAAATTTTATTTCTTCTTTGACCTTTTCTTCTTCCCAGGAGCTATCCTCTCTGCATTTCAAGGTATATAGACCTGTGTTATAGATCACAGTCAATTGTGTGAATTGATACGATGTAAGGGTCACATAGTTAAAGAAATTAGGGATCTGACAACCTAAATTTTCATTCATGTCATTAAAAAATTTCTTAAAATAAGACCTGTTGTGCGGCAAGTACAGGAAAGTAGAGAGGGAGTTGCCCCTATATTTAGAACCTCATTCTAGCAGAGCAGCTAATCAGTCACTCTTCAGCACAAAGATAATCACTATTCAGCATGTGATGGGGGCTCGCATCCTAGCAGAGAACAACCAGCGCCTTCTGCAGGGACGGATGAAGGTTTTGCAGAGGTAATACTGAGCTGAGTTTTAAAACCCAAGTATTAGTTGGCTTGATTCTTGGTTTATATTTTAATGTTTTATACACTAATCCCTCATGTTAAAAAAATCGGCATCCAGCTATTTCCCATCAACAACTCCACATACTCTGAATTTCTTCTGTCACTTGGATTATTGGGAAAGTTTTTATTCATTCTTAAGCCATGCATTTCATTACTTCATTCCCTGTAGCCCTCCCTGCCTTGTCTTTTTCATCCAAGTTTCAACAATGTGGTTCCAACATTTCATATGCGTTCTTTGTTAATTTAATAGTCAACAATTTAAGTCTAACAAGTACCTAATTCTCACCAAAGTTCAGCAACTTTTGGCACTTACCCTGGTTTCATCATGAACTCCACTTTATTATCAGCATTATCACTTCCATTTTTTCTACCCTTCACATATATTTATAAAAATAAGAGGGAGTTTTAACCAAATTGTCAAATAATGATAACAACAAACAACTGCTGGGACCAAAATATCTAAGAAGCTCTGGAAGAGGCAGAATAAAGTGGAATTATATTAAAGGAATTATATATAAAAGCTGTAGTAATTAAGACAGGGTAGTTCTGCTGCAGAGATAAGAAGGCTGACCAATAGGACAGAACACAAAAGCATGAAATGATGCTGTTTTACATTCTCTAAGTTGGCAAAAAGTTGCCTAGTGTGACAACATACACAGATGAGGAGACTGTGGAATGAGTGAACTCTTCTAATTGCTGGTGGAATATAATCTTCAACCGGGAACTGGTGCGAACTCCAGCTTAGAAAACTCAGACACTAGCAGTAAAACTGAAGATGCCAAGTGGGTCAGGGCCAGCAAGTCTCCCTCTAGGTAATGCCCCAGGGCAAGGTTGCAGCTAAATGTAAACACCTGGGGCGCAAGGAATTTTTTTTGTTAAAGCTTCTTTCATGACTTTAATGTGCAATCGGGTTTGAGACCAGTGTTGCAACCTGACTGTTGAACATGTACAGGAATGTTTATAGAAACAGTATCAGCAAAAGGCTGGAACTCCAAATGCCCACTACGGAAGTATGGATAACTGTAGTATACTCACATAGCAGTAAAATATGTAAAACAGTTCACAGGCTCCTGAGGTGACTCTTAGAATGCTGAGTTAAAAGAGCAAGTTTTGGAAGATTAGGCACCATATAAGGCTCAGAAAAAAGCATAATTGAACATGGTATTTAGGCTTCATGTATTGTTCAAAACATCTAAAGAAATGAGGACCCGCCATTCACAGCGCTGGGAGGTAGTGGGATAGGATGGAGAAACCACACACATCGTTTCCATGACATTAGTTCTCTAAGTTGGGTAGTGGTTTTACAGATGTTTAGTATCTTCCTCCGTAACTTACATATACTTCTGTGTATATCAAATATAATGTAAGTATAATTAAAAGCCTTTTTAATAACACTAGATCCTCAGAGTAGACGCTGTCCTTCTGTCCACATAATGAGGAGTGTTCTACACTTATTCTGAGCATTAAACCCTTGCGTTTTTCTGTGGTTCCCTTTGCCTAGAAAACAGTCACTGTGGCTTGCGTTCGCTGTCGCTGGTGACAGTCAGCCTGTTTGTTAACTTTGCTTCATTAACGCAGGCAGTTACACACCCTACATTCCATTCTCTTCAAGGGGAAAAGAGTTTTACATGTGTTTGTATATCCTAGATGCCAGATATTACTTGACATTTCCATTTAGTTCATTTAATCGTTAAAGCTCATCCTTATGAAAACATTTTGAATGTAATATTAATAACCCCTGGGCATAAAGACTACAAGTATTGGTTCTGAAGTCAGACTTCATGGGTTCAAATCCTGGTTCCAACATTAATTAGCATTATGAATTTGGGAAAATCAGCCCCCTCATGCTTCCATTTGCTCATCTATAAAGTGGAGATAATAAAAAGAAACCTTTTCATAGAGCTGTCCTGTAGTTAAAAGAATTATAAGTTTAAACCACTTGCAAGAGTGGCTGGCACTTAGTTACCTTCCATAATTATTATTGTGCATTTTCCTGAAATAAAGCTTTTAAAGAGAATCAACCCTATGCCCAGATCTTTAAAAAATTTTTTTTGAAAGAGAGTAGTTTTACAAACTATTGGTTACAAAGTGGATGAACCTCAAAATCATTATGCTAAGTGAAAGAAGCCAGTTTTAAAAGACCACGTATTGTAATTCCATTTATATAAAATGTCTAAAAAAAGACAAGTTTATAAACAAAGGAGAACTGTGACTAGCTAAAGCTATTGGTGAGAGCAGGAAACAGAATAATGGGAGTGATGGAAATGTTCTAAAACTGGATTATGGTGGTGATTGCACAGCTCCATAAATTTACTAAAATTCTTGAAGTACACACTTATAAAGGTTTTTTTTATTTTAAGGAATAGTTTCAGAGTTTTTACTTTAACAGAATTTTCATCAGGACAGGTAAAATCTGATTAAACTGATATTTGAATGTAGTCAAAATCTAGCAGTAAAGTCTTCGTGGGAGGCAGAGACTATGCTCTTTATGGAAAGATTGATTTTATTAAGCCTTGTCATGACTATGGTATGTATTTCTGATTACTCAGTTCTTTTTTATGTCTTCATTTTTTTTCAATAATTTCTCTTCATAATTCCCATAAGGATTTAACCGGGGAGTGATCATCCCCTTAGGCTACTTTACTAGGTTTCTATGTGCCAACTATTTTATATATATTAATTTAATTCTAAGCATAATTTTATGAGAAAGGCATCATCCTTCCCATTTTATCAGTGAGGGGACTGAAACTAGAGAGGTTTATATCAAACAGCAGATTTTAAAGCAGATTTAGCACATAGGATTTTCTGATTACAGACCCTAATTATCATACCATATGGCTGATGAGTGTTTTCAGAACATAATACAAACTAAAGTACGGAGTTTGGACTGGGGGGATGAGATTGGAAGCTTGGAGAGAATGGAATTGGACTCATGTCATTCACAGACTTGAACATGTGAATGAAAAATTGTACAGAGGTAAAAATAAGACATGTAATAAAGGAGGTTCTTGAAACAGCTTAAAATAGTATACATTCCCTTAAATCTATTAGGAATTCCTTGCTGGCTACTGGTTAAAAAGACTTTACTACAGTAATTTGAAGGAATTAGGATTTTATTCTCTTACTGAAATGAGGTTGGTAAGCAGCTCTACAGAATTATGAAGGCCTGAGGCTTTTTCTGTCTTCCTTCTCCAACATCCCCAGGGTATGAATTCAATCCTCAAGTTATAAAACTGCTGCTGGTCTCAGGCCATCACGCTCATATTCCAAGTATGGAACAGAGGGAGGGCAAGGAGAAAAGGAAGTAAATGTCTTTCATAAAAGCCTTACTCAATGACTTTTACTTACATATATGGCTACCCACCTGCCAAGCCTGGAGTATAGTTTTTCACTTGGGTTTAGATTCAGGATTCTGGTACGAAAAGAAAAGTATTTACATAGTCAACCAGAAGTCTCTCCCACATCTCCAAAAATTATACATTGTTTTTATTTTTTGCCAACTTTCTAGAAACAAATACAAAAGAAATGATGTTAATTAAAAATACTATGGTTTTATAAAGCAAACTATATTTCACTGTTATCCTTTTCCCAATTCTTCTAGTTAACATTTTTAATGATCTGGGATGTCCCATATAACAATAACAGGAGTTTTAGAATGAGAGAGAAAATGGCGGGGATAAAGTAATTAAGAAATGAGTCAAGAAAACTTCTAGAACCAAAGGGCATGACTTGCCAGGCCAAATGGAGTCACTGAACAACAGTAAAGATGGACCCATATCAGAGGCACTACTGTGAAAGTTAGGAACTCTAGGGGCAAGAAAATGATATAAGATCCCAGAGAAAAATAGACCTCATGCAGCAGGTCGAGAATCTGGCTTTAGACTTCTCAGCAGGAATTTGAAGCAAGGTGCTTTGCCATGTGGGCCTCTCCAGGGGGCTTCTTGCAGGTGCTCATGGCAGGACAGCTGTACTCTCCCCAAAGGATGACCTAAGAGAGAGTGAGGGGGAAGCTGGAGTGTCCTGTATGGCCTTTGCTTGCACCTTGTAAGTGTTATAATACTTTTCAATTCTTCCTTGACAAATCACACCATTTGACCAAATCAAGTCTATTCACTTGGTATACGGACTAAAACAGAAAGAGATGGAAATGGTACTAATTTCCCAAACTCCTCATTTTCTACCTGGATCCGTAGCAGTTTCCTATGTGTTCCTTCAGCATGGATTTGGCTTACAGACATGGTATTAGTAGCTTCTCCTAACTCAGGCTCAGTGATCCCCATCTCTGTATTACGGAAGTCCCAAAGGAGATCAATGTTACAGAGCATCACCCTTACAGGATGGATATGATATCAAAGCAGCAGCCCCAATCTGTATCAAAGGCCCAGATCTTAATGGTTTTCTTCCAACTTAACTACCCTTCATTACAGGAATATCGACTTCTGACCAAGTTTACTTGCTCAAAGCCTAGTTCACGAGAACTAGGGCAAGGGAGAATGCTTATGTCTCAGTGCTGCTTCTAAGACCCAGACAGAAGAGGGGGACCTCACTGTTATTGGCTCAACTACCATTTACTTAGAAAAACAAGTTTAATAAGTGAGAGTATTTGTCAAGTTAGGTCCTAGTGAACAGTAATAGTAAAGTATGTATTTATTTGTAATTTTTAGTCAAAGAATCTGAAGTCTGACTATATTATTATTTATATATTTAGTTGTTTATGTATTTTTAAATACAAAATCACCTGTAGGGACACAGCCCATTCATGGGGTGGAAGCTATTTGACCTTTATAGTCAATACTAATGTCAGATAATCATGTCAGAAAATGTAAAAATACCTTCTGTTCAGTTGAAAGTCTTTTTTTCCTCTCAGCATCCTGATTTTTCTTTTTAATTATGATAGTTTGTCATGTACATAAAAATCACACAAATATGAAGGCACCCATATACAAATGTATTTGTCCTTAGTATTCTCCTCCAAGGTTATCTGGGTTTATGAATTTACAAATGCTAACGTTAACAGGTGATAATGAGGTAGTGATGGTTATAAGAGTAATGTCGTTGCTCTTCTACAGGTAATACATACAAAGGACTAAGTACTCACCCCTCTTTAAAGCTAAGCAGGGCCTCTATCTTTAGTGGAAATTAATTTAGTCTTCATTTGGTAGCTTGGAAGAGAGTGAGCTGTTTTTTTTTACTAAGCAGGATCATATTAGTTAGTTTTGTTATACTGGGAAATCCAACTCCTATGGGATAGCTGTTACTGTAAAAGGTGACTACTCTGGAGACAAAGGATGGTTATAACTAAGTGAAGAACGACCAGCTTCCTTCCAAACAGGAGCCCATACGATGTTAGAGAAGGAAGGGCTGCTGGTGCCTTTGTGGCTAAGATAAAGAAGCACTTTAGGTATATATTAACTCACTTAGTTTTTATAACAATTGTATGAGATATTGCCTTGACATTTTAAAGATGAGGAAATAAGGACACAAAGAGATGAAATAATGTACCCATGTAACCTTACTGTAAGTGGTTGGACTGGAATTTTAACCCAGGAAATCCTGGCTCCATTGTCCATGATCTTAACCACTACACTATTGCTTCTTCTTTAATATGTGAGGCAGGTAGAAATTTTATGAGACTGACGCACTGCCTACTGCGCTAAGGAGGCAGATAGGTAGAAATTTTAAGTCAATTTAAAGTTAATTTAAAATTTTGGGATTAATCCTGACCTGAAAGCCTGGAAATGAAATTGCATCAGTGCAAACTCTTTACCTGTCTTTATTTTCTACAATAATTTCAATTTGATGACATTTTATATTTCATCAAATGTTAATTCGCTAAATAAAATAATGTGGTTTGCTTTTTTGAAGGGCAGTTCAGTGTTGCGGTCAAGTTTTCTTTGCCTCTCGCAGCTATCTGGGTAAATCTCTTAACTATCACTTTACTCAATTTCGTTATTTATTAAACTGGTAATAATTGTAATAATAGGCAATCGTAAGGACTAAATGAGGTAAGGCAAGTAAAACCTTTGAAACAGTGCTGGGGGTGCGGAGGAGGGACGACGACACAGTGCTTACTGTGTAAGCGTTAGTCGTTGTTAGACCTTTTAAGACTTTTTTGATCAATAGATCAGAAAAAGTTTCAAGGTTTGATTGGAAAGTCTGGTTAACAGATGGGCTTACTCTCGAGCAGTTCCCATTTAATCTCTTTCCGAAGTTCCCTCTATTACCTCGTATGCTATGAAGCATTAGGAAAAGTGAATCAAGTATTTTCTTTCTCAACAAGTATTTGGGTGCGTAGCAGGTATTGGTTATAAGGGTGAGGAAGACATGTGTTTCCTTACGGAGCTTACTATGTGGAAGTCAAGAAAAACATTGAACAATAAGTTATCTTATGTCTAGAAAAGGAAGTTTAAATGTTCTTGACGGGGGAAAATGAGGCAAACACAGAGAAGGCATAAATGGTGGTACGCCCAAGTGTCTCATTAGCAATGAAGTAAGGTATGAGAAGCTGAGATTCCTTCTGGCCACGTGGTTACACCTGAAATAAATTTCAACCTGTTCTGCTTAGCCACGCCCCTCTCCTCGTGCCCACACCCCTTGTTTCACTAAACAATGCGTCTACAAAGGGAATATCGCGAGAACGCCATTCTGTCTCCTTTCTGACGTTTTCAGTTGTATTTGTCGCTTGTGCTCTCGCGATACTGTAGGTAAACGGGAGCCCGGGCGACCCGGGCTTCTGTGAAACATGGCGGTCGGCTGGGACCGTAGCACAAGGTAAAATACTGAAACCCCGCCGGGCGCTGTCTCCTCGGTTGGTCCAGGGCTGTCCAGGGCGCGAATGTGTTTGGGGGTGCCGAGAGCCTGCCGCGGCTTTGGCTGCGTGACTTCGTCGCCGCCCTGGAGGGCGGCCCAGGCGCGGAGCCGCTGGTAGGACCCTGGGCAGCGCTGCGCCCGGGCGCTCCCCTCTGCCCGCTCGGCCGTCTCGGCGCGCTCGTGCACCTCGAAGGGATTGAGGGCTTCCAGGAGAGCTGTTGGCCGTGACCCACTGCTCCTCACGGTGCCCCCGTGGCGCCTTCGGTCCGCCGGAGAGGAGGGTCCCGCGCTGGGAAGACCCGCTGGCTGGTGTCCCGATGCTCCCGGGTGTCCGGCGCCCCACCCCCATTCGGACAAATACCAAGTTCTTGGCAGCAAGTTGCTCAGAAAGACCGAGGTCTTGGCCTCGTTTCGAGGGAGTGTTTCGCACGCCTCTTCGGAAAATGACAAAGGGGCAGGGCAGGGTGAGACGCTTTAGGAGAGACAGGTCCCAGTGTCACTACTTTTCTTAAACCCTCGAGGGTTAAGAAACCCTCGGAAAGTAACAGTCAGCTGGAGGTAGAAAATAGCCTCGGGTGTCGGTTAATATAAGAGTTGATAGGTTATATGAGAAAACACGTATAAGTAACATGTTTAGGATATAGTGCCCTGCATACTTAACGCGAAATTACGTATCTGTTAAAATGTTGCAAGACTGGTTTCCAGAAGCAATTAAGGATACAGTTAAAAAGAGGATTTACTCACTTGTTTGAAGTTGTATTTAAGTGTTTCAGGTAATTGCCTAGCCTGCTACATTGAACTCAAGTATACAGCCCTTCTAAAGAATGAGTCAGGACAGGACTGAAGAATTCAGGACGTGTGCTTGTTTTGTTTATTGATATCTTTAAATCGATGCAAATCATTCCAGTTCTTTTATAGGAAAAATATGAGAAAAAGAAGTGCCGGGCTCTTTGGAGGAGAGGGGAAGAGTTTTTTTCTTTTTGTTTATGAACTTTAGTACACTCACGAGTATTGTAATGGCTTGAGGGGACAAATCATAAAACTATATCAGGCTTGAGAGCTCTTTTAAAGGAAATCAGGTTTCGTTTGGAACAACAACAACAAAAAAGAATTATTAGAAAAACAGATTTATTTTTTGCAGGGAGGTTAGTGAGAGAAGAAATAAGGAAACTTATTTTCAAAGAAGTTACTTTTAGGCACTGTATGCCTGCTCCTGACCAGTTTTCGATAATTATTCTGACCCTGCCTCTTCATGTCAGGAGGAGCAAACTAACCTCTTTGTGCCTTAGTTCCCTTATCTGCGAAATGGCAATAATAATAACTCCTGACTTACAAGGTGGTTGGTGAGTGTTGGAGTTAAAACGTGCAAAGCATTTAGAACAATGGTTGGCATACAGTTAGCATTCATTGTTAGCTAACTTCTGTAATTTGACTCACAAAATGTTGTCTTGGTACTTAGTCGAACAGACTGAAGAAGATGCTTTTCAAAGTAATTTATGACCCCCAAATCCACTAAACACCCTAATTCTCTATGCTCAATATTTCCTTAGACTCCACCTTCCAGTTGCTTGCTTTCTTAAGCTATTATCTTCTCCTAATTGCTAACAGTAAATTAGTAAGGCACAAATTCCTCCTTTCTATTCTTCCGTACAGTCTTATTTCAGTCTAGGTCACTTCTGCTCCAGGTGACTGGTTAACCCATTGTCCGTGCTTCTGGGCAATTCATTCTATCGTAAATACATTACACATGTCTGACCTTTTTCCTCACATGTTTCTTTACTTCTTACTTCAGTTTGGTACATTTTTAATGCATAGTTTTCTACATTCAGGGCATTCTTTGAGGGGAATTATATTTGCCCTTTCCTTTGCTCCCAGGCGCTTCCAAATTGTGTTGCCATCACTTTCCAGTCTCTTAACGTTTATTCTATCAATTTGTATCATCCTTTGTCTATTTATGGTATTAACTAGCCTCAGATACTCTCCTACTTTCCTAGAAGCCTTTAGTGTAAATCTCAGATATCCTACAAATCTTTGCATTTCTTTTGACAATTAGAAACATTTATCAAATAACTCATTTTTATCTTGATTAAACACTGAGTAGCCATTATGTCCCCTTCCCTCCTTTTAAAATAAAATTATAGTAGAGGATTCTGAGAAATTGAGGCTCTTTCCAAATTTGTCACACAGCTCGTAGGGCCAAGACAGTAACCCAAATTTTTTTGATCACAAAACTCAAAGTCTTGTTAAGCTTTCAAGTAAACCTTTTTTTAAAAAAAAAGTACTTAGAGATTATTAGATTTATTTGAATTATGTTAGGGTAAACAACTTAAAAAACATAACACTTAACTATTGTAAAAAGTTTGAGTTTAAAGTAAAAGGGTAAGTACCTTTTTGGATATCTAGTGTTTGTAAAGTGAAACTAAGTTACCGTTCATAAAATTTTTTTATTGTGGAGTATTCTAATGCATTATAATTAAATCATATAAAATTACAGGTAAGTTGTACTTTGCTTTTTGTTTCTGAAATTTAGTGATGGCCTGGGTGATACTTGTTCTGTCTCCTTTCTCATTCTTAGTAATGGCTTGTATTCGTTTCTTAGGGCTGCCATAACAAATTACTGTAAGTTGAACGGCCCAAACAAATAGAACCTTATTCTCTCATATTTTTGGAGGCTAGCAGACTGAAATCAAGGTGTCAGCAGGGCCATGCTCCCTCTGATGGTTCTGGGAATGAATCCTTCCTCTCCTCTTCTGGCATCTGGGTAATTCCTGGCAGTCCTTGGCTTGGAGATGCATCACTTTCATCTCAGCCGCTGTCTTCACATGGCCTCAGGACACCAATCATTGGACTTTGGGCCACCCTAATCCTACATGACCTCAACTAATTACTTCTTCAAAGACCCAGATATTTCCAAGTAAGGCCCACTCTCAGATTCTAGGGGTTAGTACACAAGTATATCCTTTTGGGGGACACATTTCTACCTGCAACATGGCCATATGTATTAACCAACTAAATATTTCTCATATTGCCAAATATGTATTTAAAAAATAGAAGTTAGCTCATAAAGCATAGGTAGCAGGAGATTATGTTTCCATTATTATTTGGAGATAAAACTTCTTGAGCAGCCCATAAAAAATGTCATGCATTCTGTGTTGTAATTTGGCAAAGCACTTGATAGTCTCATATTCAGATGGACACAGTGATAAGTATGGGGTGTATGGCATTACTGAGATTGTTCATAATGTGTGTATGTGTTCCAGCGTGAAAGGTGGTTCTTATTTCTTATGTAGTTTTTTAAGGCATTGTCTTAGCCTCAGATATTATCACTGACTTCCTGGAGGTTTCTTTGTTTGTTTTGTTTCTTAATATACAGGCAGTTGAGGAGAGAAACTGAAGAAAACAGATAATGGTACTGGAGATTGTCAAAGTATGAAGAACAGCACCCACCAGTGGCAAAGGAATCTAATGCACTAGCTCCTAATTTTTTAGGTTTTTGTGGACCACTACCAAATACATATAGGAAAAAACAAAAAAACACACACAGAAAGGGGCTGGATTTAAGGACTGCTGTAGAATTGCAGCTTTTAATTTTAGTAAAGAAGGACATCCAAAAACAACCTGTTATCTAGTTTTAGCATTTCACAAAAGAAAACGTCATTCTGACACTCATAAACGAAGGTAATCTCAGAATAAAGGACAGATTTTAAATTGAATAAATTTAGTTTTTAAAAAGTTCCTCTATTGTCCTTGTTTTTTTCCTTTAGGTACAGACCAGAAAATTTGGAACATAATGTCAGTGACTTCTGGAAACCACTGATCTCGGGCATTTCTCAGTGCATTTTTTTTTCTAATAAATTTTTCCTTAGAAAAAGCGAATACAATTAAAAAAAAAGATGCTGCGGTTGAAAAAGCCTGATTTGTTAACTGAATGCTAACTTTTTTTTTTTTTTTTGAGAGGACATCTCTCATATTTATTGATCAAATGGTTGTTAACAACAATAAAATTCTGTATAGGGGAGTCAGTGCTCAATGCACAATCATTAATCCACCCCAAGCCGAATTCTCGTCAGTCTCCAATCTTCTGAAGGAGAATGAGTAAGTTCTTACATGGTGAACAGTGCAAGGGCAGTCATACAGAAACTTTCGGTTTTGATCACGCATCATGAACTATAAACAATCAGGTCAAATATGAATATTCGTTTCTCTGCATTTTTGAATATGGCTGACCAGCTGGATGGAGAGGCAGAGGGAGTGGGAATGGGAGCAATGGAACTGGATAAGTGGGAGGAGTCCAAGGGACTGAGAACACAGGGAAAATGAGGAGCGGATTCTGTCCTAGTAGGAAATTAGAGAACTGGAAGGGTAATTGGCTCTGGTCAGAGAGGAAACCTAGTGTTTAGGGGTTTCAGAGGTGGAACAGTTTCAAGGTTAAAAGGAGCCAAGCATGGACTTGCCTGTGTGGGGCTTTGCAGAGAATTAAGATAGAGGTCAGTGGGGCAGGAGATGGGTTATGTGTACAGGGTAAAACGATTGTCACTGTGAAAGAATGCCATAGAACGAGAGTCCTAGGGTCATAGGTTCCAAAGTATGGTGGAGTGATCCAGGTGCTGAAGTCATTAAGGAAATTAAAAATGTATCTAGACGTTAGTAGAAGGTGATAACAAGTGCTGAAGTGTGAGTCAGTCAACATTGAGGTTTGGAGTGTGGACTCCTGAACCAATCTACTTGGGATCAAATCCAGGTTCTAGTACCTGCTCTGTGGTAAAGTCAAGAAATCACTTGACTGTTCTGTGCCTCAGTTTCCTTGTCTATAAATGAGAACATTTCTTTGAAATGCCCCAATAAAAATGCAGTAGAAGGCAAGAAGATATACATGTCTGCAGAGAGATTTGGACTGGGAATAAAGATTTGGAAATATAATACTTCATATAAGTGTTTAGAGAATAAATTAATATATAAAGTGATTCAAATATTAACTAGCACATAATATGAAAGTTAAATTCCTTGTAGCATATGTATTTATTATTAGAAGAAGAGAAGCTTGAAAGGGGAAGAGATGGTTGAGAAATCATGATAAAACATGCTGCTGCTTTATCCTGTGAGTCTCAGAAATGAAGTAGCATTTGAAGGCAGTTACCACCAGGAGAATGTCAGATTTCATAAAGAGCAGGGAGAAGGGTTGCTCTTAGAAAAATTAGAGTTACTGGATAGTTTGTTTATATCAGAACAGTGGCTCTAGAGTAGAGTGTCAAGCATTGGAGATGGAGGAGGCTTCATGGATGTAGGTTAGCCCTGAGCTAGCAGGTGCTGCACTGTGGAATGGTAATCAGAAAATAGGAACGGAGAAAGCTAGAGGTTGGGAGGTAGCCAAGTGGGTACGCTTGCTAGACTGCTAAGGGAGGAGTGCTGAGTAGGCTGTAGGAATTGCTGGAGGGCCTATCAAATGAATTGCTGCTTACTGTACTGTATTTAAAAGAAAGCATTTTATAAAGCTTATAAAAATAAAGTTTCAGAAGTAAAATTCAGTTTTATTAGTTTGCTCAAAAAATACCATTTTTATAGGTACTAGGGATAGTGTAGTGAACAAAACACAAATTATTCTCCTTGTGGATCTTAGATGTCTATATATTTTCTTATTTAAGTATGGCACTTTTGATTGGAAAGCTATTCTACCATGGATGTTTCTGGGGAAACTGTCTTCCTACCTTGTTTGGGAAAATTTCCTTTCTTCCCTCCTACTTTGGGGATTTTCCCACCCACTTTCTTTTCTTCTTTCCATAAATGTTTACTGAGTACCTCCTGTGCCAGACATTGGCGATACAAAGATCGAGTTATAATTCTTCCTGTAACATAGTGGAGAAGAAGAAAAGTAAACAAGCACTGTGGTAAAGTCACAGCATTCTAGGAACACGTGCTGTAACTAATAGGTTTGAAGTCTTAGAAGGTTTTCCCCTCAAGAGAGTGATGTCTACACTGAGACTTGGAGTGTAAGTAGGAGTTAGCCAAGTGTAGAGGTGGAGATTTTTCTGGCAGAGAGAACAGCATGTTTATAGAATAGAAAATGATTTCATATGACTGGAATTTAGAATTTGAGGGATGGGGTTTGAAGAGAGGTAAGTAGGACCTGATTTTTGAAGACGTAAATCATGTTAGGATAGAGTCCAGACTTTTTAAATGTAATGGAAATGTACACAAAGATTTTAAAAGAAATATATGTGACCAGTTTTATGTATTCAAAAGGTTATGGGGTGTAGTATGCAGAGTGAATTGAATGATTGAAGACTGGAAGTTGTTGAAGCAGCACAGACATACTGCCATGGTATCATGGTAGTTGTGACTGGGGTCCTGGTAAAGAACTTCTCAGTGGGCCTGGAAAAGGAGACGGATTTGAGAGAACTTTAGAAGCACTTAAGTCTGAGAATGTGACCCATGTTTCTGGTTTGTGCATTTGGGTACGTGGTCTCATCATTAAGGTAGGGACGCAGGAGGAGAAACAGGTTTGGTAACGTGAAGTATTGATTTTGGACTTGTTGAGTCTGAATTATCTTTGAAATACCCCAATAAAAATGCAGTAGAAGGCAAGAAGATCTACATGTTTGCAGAGAGATTTGGACTGGGAATAAAGATTTGGAAGGAATCAGCATGTAGTTGGAAATTACAGGGATGGGGGACCACTTGGGGAAAGTGTGGAGGTGGAGAGAAGGGCCTAGTGCAGAATCTGAAGGGAAGAGGACTCTGCAAAGTAGGTCAAGGAAGTAGAGGTAGAATGAAAGTCAGGAATGTTGTACTGCTTAAACCAAGGTAAGAGACTGTTTTGTGAAGAAAAAGTGATAAATAGTGTATTTTTTCAGAGGCAAAATTAGGGTCTAAAAAGTGTCCCATTGGATTTAGTACAAAGGAAGTTGTTAGTGACTTTGTGAGAGCAAATTTCATTAAGAGGTGAGCACGTGCTGTCGTAGTCACCCTGGATGAATGGGCAAGTCATTCTTTTAAGTTTGGCTACAGGTATGCAGCCAGAGGTCTGTAGTTGGAGTTGGAGCCGAGTAGACAGTTTTGTTTCAAACACAAGAGACTTGCCCATAGTTAACGCCAACAGGAAGGAATGAGTAGAAATTGAAGATTGAAGAAGGATTGATCCTGGTGCATTACCACTAAGCAAGTACGGAAAATAAATTTGATTACTCTGAGTTGAACAGACTTAGGGAGCATGGCTTATGCCTATCACTTCATAAGCTTAATTTACAAATGAGAATACTGGTTTTATAACTGTCATGGGCATCAGAAACTGTCATCTGTTTTGTTGCATGTCCTTTTCTAGGGAAACCACATAAATAAGCAAAAGTATCATCACAAGGCCACATTATGAGCACGAAATCAGCAAGTGGAATTAGTTGGATATTTTTAATGGCAAATGAAATCAACCTATTAATGTGTCCGACTTCACTTTAGGGCAGTAGTTTCCTCATGGACTGACTGGTAGTGCCCCTGGCTTAGGCCTGCGCTCTCTTGGACAATGTTCATGATCACAGCCAGTTTTTACTTCTCTGACTCTCCTTTTCCTCCATCAGCACCCTTTCTACAGCCTGCTCTTTCTATATTAATCCTACGCATTGGATTTCAGACAAGTCCTTCTGCTTTCTTCTAGAGACATTCTTTTTCTGTTAGTAACTCCTGCAACCATTTGATTTATGCTATTAGGTATTTAGTTTATTAATAACACTGACTCCTGGTGATGCTTTATAGTATCACCTATAGTATTTATATAAACCAATCTTATAAAAATTATGTAATTATTTGAGAATTCAGCTATTCTTATGGCTTTGTAATATATTTTAGATGTAGTTGACATAAAAGTGAAAATACTAAGCAATTTTTAAATAATGTTTTTATTGTAAGGTCCAAAATTTTGTAAAGAAGACAGTGAAAATCCTTCCCTGATCTACTTTTAACTTGTGTGTATAACAAACTTTCAGTTTGCTCCATGTAGTGTCTTTCTCCCAGCTCCCATAAAACTGGATCCATGGGGCTTTCTAGTCTTCTCTTAATATTTCTTGAGTATTTTTTATGTCATTAAATGTTTTCTCTTATAAGAATTTCATTGTTTACATAGATTCAGAGCTTTTAATTCACTCTAATTTGTATATTGGACACCAGGAGTTTGTTTCTATCTTCAGTATTTAAAAATAATAGTATGAGAAATATCCACATAATAAAATTTTTGTGCACAACCCAGATGATTGCTTTAGGATACATTCCTAAAAAAGAAACTTAGCTAGTCAAGACAGGAGTGGTGAATATTTAGATTCTTGTTAGCAGTATATGAGCATGCCTATTTTACATCATTGTCATCCATTAGTGTATACTATTTTTATATATTTTTTAATTGGAGAAAAATTTTTTAAATTTGTGTATCTAAATACTTGGAATGTGAATCGCTGTCCACTTTATTTTTCTATTTCATGTGTTTGTGTGTCTAAATTGCCTTTTATTAGTACTTTCTGCCTGGATGGGTGTGAGAAAAGGAGAGGTGTGGGTAAGTGTAAAGCTTTTTTCTCAAGGAGGAATGAGCATGTTAAGTTGTTCCAAGGACATTCATCTAAAATAAAGGAAACTTTAAAAACTCTTTTTAGAGGGTTCATTTATTTCTTACTTACTCCTTAGCATGACTATATGAAAGAGGAAGAAGGTTTTCCTGAAGATGAGGCGACTGAATCGGAAGAAAACCTTGAATTTGGTGAAAGAGTTGGATGCCTTCCCAAAGGTCCCTGACAGCTATGTGGAGACCTCAGCCAGCGGAGGTACAGGTGAGTTAGTTCAGGTTCCTAAGTGTAACTTCAGGGGGCCCAGTGAACAGTGTACAGAAATGTGGCCCTGAGGAGGAGCAAAGAAAGCAACTTGTAGCTCATCTGTCCTCGTGTCACGCTGTTTGCCCTCATTTTATTCTTAGATATATTCTCTTTGGTATCTAACCCAGTGCAGCCTATGCATTTAACAATGTTTATTAAAACATTCCTGAGCAAATTAAATCAGTTTTACTGCTTTAAAAGATTATTATATGTAAATATAATTAATTTAGAGGAAGTTATTTAATGGTTGACACTGCTTCAGTCCTATTTTGGTTAAGAATAAGTAAATTTAGACATTGTAATAGAAATTCTGAAATTGCACATTACTGGAGAGAGGCAGCATGGGATAATAGTTGAAGAGCTTAGACTTTGGAGCCAGACTTTGGATTTAAATCCCACCTCTGCCCTTTCCTAACTACTTGACCTTGAGGAAGTTACTTCATCAGGGTATGCTTTAGTTTCTTATTCCTTGAAATGGCAGTGATATCAGTATTTACCTCATAGAGTTGATGTGGTGATTAGATAAATTTAATATTTATAAAATGCTTAGAGCAGCATTTGTTGCAGGTAGATTTACTTGTTTAATTAAATAAATATATAAGACAAATATGTGAGTATTGCAATATTTACTTTCCCTGTGAAGTTCTAATAAAATAATATATCATACAGAAGTTGACATTTCATTTGGTAAAATGTAGTAAATCACTTGCTTTTTCAAATCTCTTGTGTGGTTCAGTTTTGTTAATGAAAATAGTGCAAGTTCTTATTGCACAGTCCATGTTAAGGGTGATTTGTCAGAGATTATGACAGTTGCCTTTTTGTCAGCTCTTGTACTTTTATAAGTGAAGTGATGTGTTTAGGAGATCCAAAGGAGATGAGAGTTTTATTAGCAGTTTGGAGATATTTGAGTTTCTGGCACACAGATTGTTGTGGCTTCCCAGGAGCTAAAATATTAAGCTGGTTTTGTCTTTTATTTATTTTTTTTAATTGGGCCACATGCATGGATACATTTTTAATTATGAGGGAACTACTTTTAAATTTGTTTTGTAAAACGAATGCTTACTTTCATCATTTACCATAGCTGTGACACTGCTACATAGAAAAGTAGAAATTTCATGTCTTGTAAACATTTGGCAAATCTGCTTAGTGAGAGATGCCTTTAATATTGAAGAAATAAAATGCTTTCTCAATAGTACAAATGTCTGTTCATGTTTGTGCTCATTAAATTTTCATTTTTGAGTTGTTTTAGAAAAACTGTAATGAACATTTTAAGAAATACCTTTTATACTATTCATTCACAGCAATCAGGGCGTGCTTTGCTCATTTTAATCTCACCTCAAATAGTTTACTGTTCTCTTTTTAAAAATTGTTTTAATTGTTTTTCTTTTTTCTTTGATTTCTCAGTTTCTCTAATAGCATTTACCACTATGGCTTTATTAACCATAATGGAATTTTCAGTATATCAGGATACATGGATGAAGTATGAGTATGAAGTAGACAAGGATTTTTCTAGGTAACTTTTTTCTTGAAATACCTTTGAATTCAAATATTTTAAAGATAACATACCTTTTAAAAAAAATGTTGAGTTTTTTTATACTTGGTTTATTTTAGTTCTGAAGAAAGTTCTAAAAAATTTTCTTTAATTGCATGCATTAGGTGAAACAGTTTAGAATCATTTGCATACTGGTTAAATTCTAAAAGAAAGATTTTCTGATTTAATATGCACTGGTTTAAAAAGGTTAAGAGAACATAATATGTTTTTTCTTAGATGCTGAAGTGACAAATAGTTTAATGTTTGAACCTGTTCACTCTTTAGATTTTGAAATATCTCACTGATCTTTGAGAACTGGAAAATAAATTGCCTAAAGATACATTGTATACATTTATAACTTGATTTTTAGAAGTTATATCTAAAGTAAATGTTAATATAAATAATATAACATTAAGCCTTTGAAAATATAGTGCCTTGATTAGGAGACAAAATATACCTTATTTTAATTTATTAAAATCATTTGGATTTTTTAAATTGAAGATAGCAGGTTTATAATATTAAGAGTGCAGTAGATAGGGGGAGACATTTACTCCTCAATTCTAATCCCAGCTCTTCCATTTATTTAGCTGTGTGACATTAGGGAAATTACTAAATCTATATCTACATGTGCTTAGTTTCCTTTTCTGTAACATGGGGTTTATAACTATAGTACCTTCGTCATGGTGCTAATGAGAAATAAGTAAGTCAACATTTATAAATTGCTGTGCAGTCTTGGGCAAGTCACACAATTGACTTCTTTTGGGCCTCCATTTTCTTTTATAACAGGAGTATTATTCTGGATGCCATTAGTTTTCAAGGAATGTGTTATCTTTTCTGACTTGTTTTTAACACCAGTGAAACACTTTGCATTTTTTCCAAGTGAAGTCTCATGTAGTTCACCATGTAAATGTTGTGGGGATGTCCAGAAGGCTAATTGGCCTCATCCTTGGGTTCCTACACCATCACCTGAGCCTAAACCCCAAGGTTATTTGGAGCCCAGTTTGAACACTAGACAAATTGAAGGCTCTCTGAAGCTCTAGAAATCTGTAATCCTTTTGAAACGAGATGAAAATTAGAGTGAAAAATATTTTCACAGGAAGCACAGGACAGGACTGATGTTGATTGTATTCATTCTGTTACTCATGGTGCTCAACAATTATGTGATTTTAAGCCAGGCATTTACACTGCCCTGCACATCATTGGCTTATCTGCAAAACTGTGAAGCCGTCCATTTTAAAGGCCCATGGCAAAGAATAAAGAAAACAATATGTATAGGGCATCAAGCATAATGACTGATGTATGGTATTTATTTGATAGAGGAGAAAGACTTAGAATTCCTAACTCTTGATTTTTGAAAGTTTTATATTCTTAAAAGGACTATTTGCTATAAGGTTTATGTAAACCGAGGGTGACTTTTTCCTGAGTTGCTTTGAGTTATTAATTTAGTTAATTATTAAAATAAAGGATCCTCCATTAAAAACCTGTGAAGCCAGAAGGGCTTTTGGAATAATGGCAAAATAAAAATTTTAAAGTGCCTTTGTTGTGGCCATAAGAAGTGCTGTTAAAGTTCTATCAACGTATTTTATTCTTTTTGAAATCCAAACTTTTCATAAATCAGTTGATTTATTATATTTCTTATGTTTTGTTGTTTAGTAGGTCGTAATGTTTCCTTTTTATGTTTTAGCAAACTGAGAATCAATATAGATATTACTGTTGCCATGAAGTGTCAATGTAAGTACACCTCTAACTTTTTGAATATATAGTTTATGGTTCAGACAATTGCTAGTAAAAAGTGAAACCATTGGTTGTGCTGTGACTTTATTGTTTCTTTATGATATCTTAAAATGCTTTTGCAATGTTAGTAATACAAGTTCCCCCCCTCTACCCCTGCCCCAGGTTATATTCTTTAAATCTCTTTTCCATAAAGAGGTTTAATTTTCACTTTGGTATAATTAAAAGAAAATAGGAAGAAATTTTTGTGAGAGTTCTGGTGTAGGTACATCCTTTATGTCTCTCTTGTGTGGAGTACCAGTGTTTATACCCATGTTCTACAGACAGACTCTGTTTCGCTGTTTAAGTTTACCACCTTTATTTTTACTCTTGCATCTCAAAATACAGATCCAGGTCTTTTAAATTAATACTGATATTACCCATCTTTCTATGTTGACAGATAGTAACTGCACTAGTTGGGGTGAGAATTTAATAATCTGGGTAACTGTTGAACCACTGTGTTGTACATTTGAAACCAATGTAAGACTGTAGATCAGTGATGCTTCAAAAAAAAATAAAATAGTGACGTTACCCTTCTCTTTTTTTCACTAGCTTCACTTGATCATACTGGTAGAAGTGGAAAAATGTTAATATGCTAGATAAATAATCTTTTAATCAGTATTTGATGCTTTTGCATTAAAAGTATCTTTTAAATCACTGCTTGAAATGTGGAGACCAAGAATCCAGTAGTTCAGATGACATTTTTTGAAGTGTGAAATAGTTTTTTCCTTAAGGAGATTAATTTCTGGGAGATTGCCTCTCAGAACAACCTTAAAATCACTTTTCCGTTTCCATTTATTTTTCCTTATCTTAGTGATTTTAAGAGAAAAGAAATGCTTTTATCTAAACTATTAGTGTTAATAAAAATATGTCATGTTTGGCCTTAATTGAAATGTTTGAATACAGTTAAAATTTTTAGCCTTTTCAAAATAAAATTTTCCTATTTGTTGATTTTTTTAAAAAGCCCACAGCAGCTTTGCCTTAAGGTTTCTCTGAAACTCTAAGGAATTCTTGTAACTAATATTTTATTTAGCAGCCATCTAGTACTTTGTGATTAGATTCTTGTGAATTTTTTGCAAATCTCCTCAGGTCACTAAAGTTTATGCTTTTTACCATGAGGTACTGAGCCATCTTTTTTACTGACAAAGGAGTAAAAAAAGCATTACTAATTTTTGGAATGCTCTCTACCCAAACTAAGTAATTCTACTGTTTTAACTTTTGAACAAATAGGCAGTACAGGAAAGTGGTTCTACATATTTAAGAGTTTTCTGTTAGTCATCTCCATTTGTTAGTTTCTATCAAATAGAGTTTTGCTCTGAGCACAAATATAAAATTTGTCATTTTCTTTGTGCAGATGTTGGAGCAGATGTATTGGATTTAGCAGAAACAATGGTTGCATCTGCAGATGGTCTAGTTTATGAACCAGTAAGTTTGATGCACATTTTTAAAAATATACTTCCAGGAATTAGTCCTTTGAAGACAGTTTTGATATTTGCTTTTAGTTTTGTCTGAGCTAGTTTTTAAAATATATTTTCTTAATTCAGAGTAATTCATATTCTTTATAAAAATTTATGGGGAAATAGTTACACCTAATACCAAATCCTTGAGATAACCATTTTTAACATTTTGGATAATCCTCTAACATCTGTTTTACAATCTTACTCTTATTTTATATTTTTTGTTAATGCTTCCTAGTAGTTTTCTTTTTTCTTATAGTTGCAGTAGTGATGAATTTTTCTTCTTTTCCTCTAATGGTTTGGAAATTCTGTGTCCTGTTTGTATTCTACTTTTACCAAATTTAAGTCTTTAAAAGTGTTTGAGCTATATTTCTCTCATAATCAAGAAACAGTATCTAAGAGGAGAAATTTCATACGCATATACTTATTTCCCTCTTGTTTACACTTTCATTTCCCAAAGTTAGTGAAATTCTGATACTCTCTTGTTTTTGACATAGCACACATTGTGTATACTCTCATTGATTCAGCAGAAAACTCCGTCACAGTTCAGGGACAGGTGATAACAAGTCACGATCTGAACTAACCCTAAAGAAGCTTTAGGGAATAAAGCGTGCAACTCCCATCAACTGAGTTGCTGGCTGCTCTGTTGGCCTTGTGGTCCCTAAGTTTACCCACGCATTCTTGAGTTCTTCTGTTATCGTTGACAGTTGTGAACCCTTCTTTAAGCAAAAGTGCAAAGTGAAGACAAAAGGTGATGTAGGAGGATTAGAAGTAGAGTGTGTGGAGAAAAAAAGGAAGCCCTTAAGTTAGTTCACCAAATTATTTTTAGCTGATACCAGTAATGTATATTTATGCCTTTTGATACACTTTTTTTAGTTATTACAATATTATTGACTATATTTCCTATGCTGTACTTTATATTCCCTTCATGTATTTTAATTGGAAGTTTGTACCTCTTAATCCTCTTCACCTCTTCTACCCATCTCCCCACCCCTTCTCGTTTTGGCAACCATCAATTTGTTCTTTGTGTTTATGAGTCTATTTCAGTTTTCTTTGTTCATTTGTTTTGATTTTTAGATTCTACAAATAAGTGAAGTCATACGGTATTTGTCTTTCTCTGACTTATTTCACTTAGCATAATATCCACTGGGTCCATCACTTTGTCACAGATGGCAAGGTTCTGTTCTTTTTTTAGCAGCTAAGTAATATTCCATCTTTCTCTCTCTGTCTGTCTGTCTCATACACACACACCTTCGTTATCCATTCATCTATTGATGAACACTTGGGATGCTCCCATATCTTGGCTGTTATAAATAATAATGCAATGAACATAGGGATGCATATATCTTTTCGAATTAGTGTTTTTTATTTCCTTGGGTAAATGCCCAGAAGTGGAATTGCTGGATCATATGATACTTCTATTTTAATTTTTTGAGGAACCTCCATAATGTTTTCTGTAGTAGCTGCATCAGTTTACATTTCCACCAACAGTGCATGAGGGTTCCCTTTTCTCCACACACTCACCAACACTATTTCTTGTGTTCTTGATACTCGCCATTTTGACAGGTGTGAGGTAGTATTTCACTGTGGTTTTGATTTGCATTTCCCTGATGATTGGTGATGTTGAGTGTGTGTCCGTTTGCCATCTGTATGTTGTCTTTGGAAAAATGTCTATCATCAGGTCCTTGGCCCATTTTTTAATCAGAATTCTTTTTTATTTGGTGTTAAGTTATATGACTTTTTTGTTTATTTTGGATATTAACCCCTTATGGATATATAATACGAAAGTCAATAGGTTGCTGGTTCATTTTGTTGATAGTTTCCTTTGTACGGCAAAAGCTTTTTGTTTGATGTAGTCCCAATTGTTTATTTGTTTTTTGTTGTCCTTGCCTGAGGAGACAGAAAAAAATTTTGCTAAGACAAATGTCCAGGAGTTTGCTGCCTATGTTTCCTTTTAGGTCTTTTATGTGTCAGGTCTTACATTTAGGTCTTTAATGCATTTTTACTTCATTTTTGTATATTGTGTAAGAAAGTGGCCCAGTTTCTTGTGCATGTAGCTGTTCAGTTTCCCAACACCATTAATTGAATAGACTGTCTCCTTGTTGTATATTCTTGCTTCCTTTGTTGTAGATTAATTGACCATATAATATAGGTTTGTTTGGGGGCTCTCTATTCTGTTTGATGGATCTCTTTATTTTTAGGCCAGTGCCATACTGTTTTGATGACCATAGCTTTGTAGTGTAGTTTAAAATTTAGTGTAGTCAAGATTGCTTTCACTGCTTGGGGTTCCATACAAATTTTAGGATTATTTGTTCTATTTCTGTGGAAAATGCCATTGGAATTTTGATAAGGATTGCATTGAATCTGTAGATAGCTTTGGGAAGTATGTACGTTTTAACAAAAGATTTTCACTGTTGAGTATGAGGTTAGCTGTGGGTTTATCATATATGGCCTTTATTATGTTGAAGGATGTTTCTGCTGCCACTTTGTTGAGTGTTTTTATAATGAATGGATGTTGAATTTTGCCAAATGTTTCTTCTACATATATTGAGATGATCATATGCTTATTATCCTTCATTTTGTTAATGTGGTGTATCACATTGATCGATTTGCAAATATTGAACCATTCTTGTATCCCTGAAATAAATCCCACCTGATTGTGGTGAATGATCCTTTTAATGTATTGTTAAATTCTGTTTGTTAATATTTTGTTGAGGATACACACTTTTTAAATAGAAATCTCTAAAGAAACAGTAATTTTGTTATTGCCACTCTGAACCTTTTTACTTCCTAACTCCTGTATTCCCACTCAAAAAATTGATTTTGTGGTAATTTTTTATGAAGTGAGGTAGCTTACAAATTCAGATACCATGTTTCTGTATATAGAACTATTATCTGCAAATTCAGATCTAGATAATTATTATTAGATACTTCAACATTTGCATTACATTTCATATTAAGAATAATTATTCAACTTTATATTTTATTTCTTTTGTTTTCAATCATTCTTAATTTCCTTGCTTTCATTTATCATTTTGTGGGGGGATTTTTGAGAATTTATTATTAGCAAGAATATGTGGGTTACCTTTTGCAGACTCTAGCCTGACTGCCTCTGTCATTCTCTTATTCCAACATGGATGGTTGGCTGAGGATAGAATTCTTTATGGTGTTTTGCATTGAATATTTTATATACATTCTTCATTGTTTTCTGGCATAATCATTTTTTCCTTTGTAGGCAGTGCCTTTACTTTATCTACTTAAATGCTTTTTTTCTTTTACTTTTGCAATTCAAATACTTATCCTATATATCCAAGTGTGGGTCACCTTTGGTATTTTTTGTTGTTGTTCTCAGTGGTCTTAAGGAACTGAATTTTTAAATCTTTTTTGCTTGCTTCTTTGCTATAATGATGTTCAAAGCAATGCTGTTACCTTTTTAAAATTCTTGTCATACAATGTTGTAGAATTTTGTAGAATGGTTCTCAATATCTTTTATCAATTCCTACATTAGAGGTATATTTAGAACTCTGCCCTTTAGTTCTGATAGGTCACCTTGATCCAGCAGGGTCAGTCTTCTTTCCAGTGCCTTCACTACATATTAAAATTCAATGATTATATGTTCCACCTCTAATATATCACAGATCACTCTATTTTTAAAATTCTGTCTTCTTGATGCTAAATCTCATTGAGAAATAATTAGAAAAACTTAACAGTTTTCTTATTTTTAAAATTGGTATCATGGAGGAAATTAGCCCTTATACCTCAGATTGACACTTCTTTCAAATTAATGAACCTTTTTATATCTCTGTGTATTTTCTTATTCACCTCTGAGATGGAGAAATAAGTGGCCTCTTTAGAGACTGAGAGTTGAAATAGTCTATTGAGTATGTCAGTCCCTGTTCCACACCCCCACTCCCACCCCCGCCAACATGCACACACGCTGTTTACCAGACCCAGATGAAAGGAGAAGGGTACAGGCTGGATACGCTGTTTCTTCCATATTGTATTAGAGCTTCCGGCGCTTTTGAAAAGAAAGGAGGAAGTCTTTATTGGGTCCAGGATGGCAAAGTGGTTTGCTAGGTTACCAAAATTTCTTTTTCTGTGTTTGTTTTCACAGGCTAAATTTAGCTAGGGTGACTCCTTTCTTTAACCAGTGTTACTGTCCTCATTAGCAGCCAGCTGCCCAGGCTGCATAAAAGCGAGAAAAAAAGCAGAAATAACACTGCTGTGGAAGGCCCTCGGCATGTGTTCTCTGGCACGTGATGCAGCTCCTGACAGTGTTCCTGGGACGGACGCTGCCTCTTCCTCGTGTCTTATTATTGTTTATCACCTATTTCCTTTGTTACCCTGAACTGGGGATTTTACTTGCTGCCTACATAGACTGTTCTATCCCGTGAGATAAATTATGTGTTGGGCTCTTTTTGCAACTTAGTCTTGCATAGGTTCTTGAAAATTTCCAGCATGTTGTGATTTAAAATGATTTAAAATGATGATGTAGATTGTGTCCTCACTTTTAAGTTTCTTTGGACATTGTGAGAATTTGGTTATGAGGAGACTTAATCATCTTGAACTTACCTTGTAAAATTTATTTATGCTGCTGCTTTAACATCTCTCTATATTCTGAGTCTGGCGTGCCCACTTTATTTATAATTATCTTATTTATTTATATATGTGTATTTTACATATCTTCTCTTCCCTAGATTTTAAGCTCCTGAGAAGTGTAAACTTTCTTCTTCTTTAGAATTCAAAAATGTAAAGCATAGTGCCTTGTAGTTACCTGGCACTAACACGTATGTTAGCCTTATGTCAAGTGTGACAGAATTACTGATTACTCCACTGTAAACAGTTTCTGCCATCTCTTGTAGTCACCTGTGTGGAATATGAAAGTTTTACTTTAATTGAACTATTGTATAATAAAAACATACATCTCAGCCACAAAGTTAGGAACTTAAAAATATTTAGTTGTATACTTTTTATAGTAATTTTTAAAATGTTTAAAATACTGGTAAGTACTCATTCCTTTTTCCTAATTCATATTAAAATATTTAAGTAAGAATTATTAATGTAAATGTAAGATAATTTTTACTTGTTTTTAAATTTTCAATCTTACTGTTTTAATATGCACTCTGAACATTAAAAACTAAAGCCTCATAACTTGACTGTTTACTAAGCCATGATCACACAGTATGTTATGATAGTTACTATTTTACTATTTACTATTATATGTCATTACTATTTCTTCATTTAAAGAAAATAATTTAAAAAGTGTGGGCAAGTGAGGAATCTGACAGAGCTGGGTTTATAGACTGACCCTTTCTATCTGATTTTGAAAAAGGTTTTTAAACCTTTGAGCTCCTTCCTTGTCTGTAAAAAGGAAAGCATAATAACAGGCCCACAAGGTTGTTGTGAAGGTCCAGTGAGGTGGATGGCATCGTGCCTAGCACAGAGTGGGCTACTCAGCAGTTGCCCAAGGCTTTTGGGAAAGTTGGAAGAACCTCATAAGTGAAAGAACTGCATAGTGTCTACTGTCAGCAGTTTTCTTCACTAGGTAACCGGGGAGCACCTGCAGCCTCATCCATCTGCCGTGGTGTGTTTTACGGATGTTAGCATTTTCCTCATATGCTATGGCATGAAAAAGGTTGGAAAGCGTACTATGGGCAGCTTCGGCCAGAGGAATATCTAAGTAATTTCATTGTAATCAGAACGACGCGGCAGTTTAACCTGGAATGGATGGTGTGTAGAATTTAGGTAGACAGGAGGGTCACAATTACAGGGCGGTAGATCCCAGGTTGGTGTAATTAAATTACCAAAGATGCAGAAGTAGAGCCGTTTCATAGAATGAGAGTCTTCAGCTTTGAATGAAGAGTGAAGGCTTGTAGGGAGAGAGGATTTTAAGTCCTAAAATGCCATTTTGTACATATGATAGATGGCAAACTTCTATCCACTCCTATAAAAGTAGATAACTGTAACAGGGGAACACTGGAGATGAGTAGGGTTTCTTTACACTATTTTTGAGTAAAATACCAGATATTTAATTTTTATAGAAGGTTAAATGTGAATCGTGAATACTTGTTTTTAACAATACTATAAATTTGTTTCTTGCTCAAAGAAAATTTTAAAAAATGATTATGTAAAAGCCAAGAGAATTGGCAGTGCTAGTGATTATGTTTTCCTTTATTTCAGGCAGTATTTGATCTTTCACCACAGCAAAAAGAGTGGCAGAGGTAATAAGTAAACAAAGTATTGTGGTCCTTAGATATCTAGATCATATTTTGTCTATTTTGTTTATTGTGAATATTCATAGGTTAACGTAGTTCTCTAGGCATTTTTTAGATGAAATATTAGCAGAATGTGCATTACAATTTCAGAAATTTTGTCAAGTCTTAGGGAAGTCATATGTAATCTTTTCTCGAGTGTACTTCAAATCATAAAATATTTTAGTTTTCATTAAAAAATTAACCTAAAAATTTTAAAAAAGCAATATGTGATCATTGTTTAAATTTGATTTATAGAAAGGATATAAAGTAAAAGTCTTCTTATCTTTCTGTAAACTTAGTGCCACTGACTAGTGATAATAACCAGTTTGATTTCCTGTGTAGCCTTCTAGAAATTTTGTTTGTATATAATTTTTTGTATGTTTGAGTGTTTGCTTATGTTTTCCTAATACAAAGGAGAGCATTCCATACATTTGTTTTATAAATTCCTTTTCTCTACCTAACCTTATATTCTGGACATCTTCCTATTTTAGGGCACTTAGTGCATATAGTAGTGTTCTTTATGGATAAACTATAGTTTATTTAATTGGATCCTTATCAGTGGACATTTAGATTGCTTGTAAAATTCTAATATTAAAAACAATGCTCATTGAAAGCTTTTGAACCTAATTTCCTTATGTAATTATGTGACTATATAGAGAAAGTTTCTAGAAATGGAATTTTCTTTCAGAGATTATTTAATTACCATTTTGATAATTTCTCGTCACAAGGAAAAAAATTGCAACTATATGAAATGATGGTTACTGACCAAATTTCCTGTGGCAATCACTTCACAGTGTGTGTGTATATCAGGTCATCTTGTGTGCATTAAGCTGATGTGACATATGTCAATACTATCTCAATAGAACTGGAAAAAAAAACGTTTTGATAGGCAATGCAAAATAAATGGTGCCCCCATCCCCACACCCATATATTGCCTTTTTTCTTTTTGGTTTCTAGGCATGTCTTGTACTTATAAAAGTTTATCTAATTTAAGACTATTACAAAAAGTTTTCTTGCCCATCCTTTTTTTTTTTTTTTTT